ATCTGGACTTCTACAGTGGTATATTATCTGGACTTCTACAGTGGTATAGTATCTGGACTTCTACAGTGGTATAGCATCTGGACTTCTACAGTGGTATATTATCTTGACTTCTACAGTGGTACAGTATCTGGACTTCTACAGTGGTATAGGACTTGTACAGTGGTATAGTATCTGGACTTCCTAACAGATAGTGTCTGGACTTCTACAGTAGTAAAGTGTCTGGAATTCTGCAGTGGTATAGTATCTGGACTCCCTTACAGAGGTAGTGTCTAGACTTCTGCAGTGGTATAGTATTTGGACTTCATTACAGAGGTAGTATCTGGACTTCTGCAGTGGTACAGTATCTGGACTTCCTAACAGATGTAGTGTCTGGACTCCCTAACAGGTGTAGTGTCTGTAATTCTGCAGTGGTATAGTATCTGGACTGCCTAACAGATGTAGTGTCTGGAATTCTGCAGTGATAAAGCATCCAAACTAATCAGACTTCCCCACAATGTTTCCACAACAGTAATAGCTGGACTTCCCTGCAGTGATAATCTTTGAACCTCCTCAGTAGTAATAGTAACTCCCTCAGTCATTGTTTCAGGACATTCCCAACAGCTGTGGTTTCTGGACTTCCCTTACAGGTTGTTTCTGGACTTTCCTACAGTGGTTGTCTCTGCATTTTCTAAAAGTTTTAATCTCAGAGGACTTCCCGAAAGAAATATTTTTAGAATTCCCTATAGAAAGACAGTCCCCAACTTTGTATTTCCAAACAAAAAAACTATGACTGGTTTCTTTCCAGCAGAGGTGGTTAAAGACTTCCTCCAAACAACAGTATAAGGGCTTCCCTACAACAGTAATCTCCGAGATTCTTTAATGATAATTTCTTCCTTCCATGCACTGTTCTCAACAGGAAAAGGTCTTCATACTTTAATAGAACCATTCCAATTCCAGTCTGCAGCAGACCTATGTTTTACTGTATAGGTTTAAACTAATGTCTTTAGATGTGTTACACGTCAGCCAGGCATGACATGTTATGTTTGGTAATAATAGAAAGAAAAAAAAAACATCAAAAGAAGTAACATGTTAAAACCCACTCATTTTATTAAACCGCACATAGTGAAAACAAAGATATTTCTCTTTGGTAAAGAACCTGTCACCAGTTTTGATAAAAATAAATAAATCTATGTGTAGCTAAGGTGTATAAATACAGTATTCCCTAATCACACTACATGCTTTGTACTGTCGACATTTCTAAACATAAATCAGTTATCCAATATTTGTATCGTATTAGAAAAATCACATTCAAACCACTCTAAAGGACAGAAAATCTATAGTACTAATAGGCCTGTAATAGGAGTAGTACGTATAGGCATGTAATAGCAGTAGTACTAATAGGCCTGTTATAACAGTAGTACTTATAGGCCTGTAATAGCAGTAGTACTAATAGGCCTGTAATAGCAGTAGTACTGATAGGCCTGTAATAGCAGTAGTACTAATAAGCCTGTTATAGCAGTAGTACTAATAGGCCTGTAATAGCAGCAGGACAATAAGGCATGTAATACTGGTGAACCAGTGATAGGGAAACATGCACGGCCAGACCGGTTTTTGAACCCGAGACCTCCAAAGTCTTGGAGGTTGCTCTAACCAACCGAGTTACCTGGTCATTAGCGATTGATCCAGTCCAGTTCTGCTACATTCTTCCTGCCTTTAACAAGTTGTTGGCCCCTATAGGCAGATGAGACTCTATATACCACCTTCTCTGGGTAAATTTTATTTGGTGTCGAATGTAACAGGAAAGGGAAAAGTGCACAGCCTAATGACTTAATTGACCCAGCCCAGTTCCACTTCATTGGTAGTTTAATTAGGCCAGTATATGTTAACCAGGATATCTCTCTTACAAAAATGATACTTTGACGAAAAAAAGAAAATTCAAAAAATATAATACAGCTTTTCTAATTCCACCTGAAGTGAAACAAACAGATGTCTATTCTTTAATTTTCTTTAACACACCATGTACTCAGCTTTATGTAATGTTGATAATCACACCAGATGTTATACATATAATGTGATATTAATGGGTTTCCTTTACAACTGACAAGATTATATGTACAAACAATTGTATCCAATGATTTTACTTCAAATATAATTCATTGTTTATTAAACAAGTTCACAACCATTTGACAATCTCACCATTAATCTACAGAATAGGTAATAGTGTATATATATAATTATTATGCATTCATGTCATACAGTCAAAGTACCAAGGTTCCACTGATGATAAGATATAACAACAGTTAACGAAGTTGGTTTGTTTAAGAACAGCCGTGTTGCTGTACAAACATCTCTGGCAATAAGCCGTTCTGGTCTGTAGAAAACCAAACTCTGGTCCTTCAAAAATTGGTCCTGAGATAATTGAATTGGTCCTTAGTCAACTAATCTAGTCCTAAAACAACACAGATGCTTCTATTAAAACAAATGAGCTGATCCTAAGACAGCTGAGCTGGTCCTAATTTAACTTAGCTGATCCTAAGTCAACTGATCAAGACCTAAAACAACACAGGTGCTTCTAATAAAACAGCTGAGCTGATCCTCAGAAAACTGAGCTGGTCCTAAAACAACTGAGCTGATCCTAAGATAACTGAATTACTCAATCAATGGAGCTGGTAGGTATACTTAAACAACTGAGCTGGTCAAAAGATGACTGCTTCACCTCCGACAACACAGCTGTTTCCAAGATAACAAAGCTAGCATTAAAACCACAATGTTGGTTTTAAAAAAACACATTTTATCCGAGGGTAATGATGATAGCCATCAGACATCTTTGTGCACTGTCTTCAAACAATCAAAGTAGATTGTTAATAATTAATATTTCAGATGGTCCAAGGCACACAATGACAAAAGTGACGGGACTGAACTTATTGCATGATCAGTACAAACATTATAGACTTCAATTCAATTCTTTTTATTCTGTAAGCCATTTAGGCTTATAAGACAAAGGTAACATATTTTGTTTAAAAAATATATCAACTATAACCTATCCCCGTTTTGAACAAGGTTCTGACATAACCATACAGCTTATTCATGTAATTTAAATCTTTCAATTAGCACATTATTTTTTCATGACTATATGAATAATAAATATTTGTGTATACATCTGAGTTACAGACTACAACATTTACTTCATAAATACATGCACTGCAATTGTAACCAGTAATAAAGCTTAATAAAACCATGTCTGTTTGGGACTGAACTGTTCAAAATACTGCAGCCACACAAAATCTAACCAGGTGGGCACCGTATACTACTGCTACATAAAAACGCATCTGGGGGGCAGGGGATTTAAAAGAAACATTCAAACAATCATGATGACAATAATAGAGGGTTTGGTTTTGACATATTGTGAAGATGAGAAATGGGTTTCAACTTAATAGATTCAAGCTTGTATATGTGCTGGCATCCCACAAGCATTATACAGTATATACCAAAGCGTACCCAAAGCAAATGTTTTTTTCCAGAGAAATTTTTAAATGTATAAATACATCCTCAATTCATTTAACTCATGTTTTACAATCATGGATAACCAGCTAACATTTCTTCCAACTTTCAATTAATCTGAAGTTCACCTATGTTTAGTGACTACAGAGAAATCAGTAGCTTCTTTACATCGCTGAAAACTTTATGTGTGCAAGGTACGTGATGGAACATACATGAACCAGAGAAATACCTACATCAAATATGAAGATGCTATCAAAAATATTTTCATTTAAAGCCTGAAATATTGGAGGATGTTTGTGGGTAGTTATTTGTAAAAACAGGATACACTAATTGGTGACTTCTGATAGTTTTACCTAAATCCCACACAACCACCAGGCGACAATTCGTTACTAGTTTTACCTAAATCCCACACAACCACCAGGCGACAATTCGTTACTAGTTTTACCTAAATTCCACACAACCACCAGGCGACAATTTGTTACCATATACAATGTATCTACATACTTTTGTGATGTTGCAGTTTTCTTACAGTTACAATATTACAGGCGGTTTACATCAATCATTTCCTGTTACACTATAATCATAAATACAATTCACTCTCACAATCTGGACTGACTGGTATATATTTTGGTTTGGCGATACAATTTTTTTACCCTTACTTTTATAACTTGTACATAATATATATATATATCTCATCAGAACAGAAACATGCTGATGGTTTGAATATCGTATTGTTAAATATAATGAAAAAATATCTCTTATAACGATAAGTAAAACAACTGAGTTAATTTGAATTAACAACTTTTACATTCATAATTCTAAAATTGATAAGTTTACAGATTCAGTTCATGTTTGAAATAATAATTTGACTTAGGAATTTCATAAAAAAATCTACATCTTAAAACACATTGTTTTACTCAATTAATTTTATGGTAAATATAAAGTTCAATAGGTTTTAACTAAAAGGAAATATAATTTCTATAAAATTTCAATTTATACCTCATTATTAAAGTTATTAAAAAATGTTAGCAAAATGATATTATTTGACAAAATGAATATAGAAACAAGCTAATCTTATCACAGTTCATAAACATTTCCACATCAATAATATCTAGACAGATTATTCTAATTATTGCAGAAAGTGTTTCATATGTACAGCGATCGCCTTCCACCCCCCCCCCCCTCCAAGGGAAAATGGTTGGGGAGGGAGTGGGAGTAATTCCCCAAATGTATATATAAATTGCCCTACTGACAAAATACAGTACTTTTCTCACTTTTCAGCATTACAATATGGAAAAAGCCCTGTTTGAGCCTGTAACAATACATAACTGGTCCCAGAAGGCCTGTAACAATACATAATTGGTCCCAGAAAGCCTGTAACAATACATAATTGGTCCCAGAAGGCCTGTAACAATACATAATTGGTCCCAGAAGGCCTGTAACAATACATTACTGGTCCCAGAAGGCAGAGTTCTACCAGCACACAGCATGTTCCAGATTACAATGTCATCATACTTTGCATCAGGTTATTGCTGAAGTTATACAATACTTGGTAAGTTGATGTGTTAGAAATTGGCTAGTGGTTAACATCCGTGTGGATCCCAAAGAGAGAGGGAGAGATTTAAGGCCAGTGGTTATTAGTCTTACATGTGGATTATTCAAGATAGCTACACAGAACAAGTTGAGCAAGTAAGCGGAATACCACAACCCTAGGCTAAGTCAATCAATATGCCCATTTTTAGCATGGAATATATTTCCCCACTTTTATAACCTGGAGGGGCATATAGTGTTGCCCATGTCCTTCCCGTCCCGTCCTGTCCCATCCATGGGCAGGGGGCATTTATGTCTTAGACATTTTCTAGTTTAACTACCATTTGAAAGTGGTGTTCTAGTATTTACCAGAACATTCACACATGAAAAGCCTTTCACACCCTATTAAAGATCTGAACCATAAAAATCTGATGTACAATGATTATGTCAGAACCAGTTACAATAAAACATTCTTGTACAATGTTCAACCAGCTGATAAGACAAATATCACATGATATGTACGACTGGAACTGTGTCCAATAACAGTAGAGGCACAAAATACTGCTGCGTAACAGATTGTAACAGATTTATTAGATTCAAATTAAAAAATAATGAAAACCTTGGCATTTTATAATCGGTATATAGTGTATTCAAAAAGGGCAAAATCATTACCATAACAACATTTTGGCAGAATGAGATGTCTTTCTTTAACACACAAATAACTGTCGTGTGTCCTTCCTACCATAGTTGAACAGGCAGTTACTTAATTCTGAAGCTGGCAGTCAGGAGCATTGTGCTGTGATATTTGTTAGTAGCTGTGTTAACAGGCTATGTATGCATTATTGGAATTCAAGCCTCATGTGTTGGAATCAGCTGACCACAACTCACTACAACTGACAATGAGCTGATCATCGGTCATTACCAGCCATATCCATCTCCCCCCGAAGTTATTTTGATGACCATACTTTTCTGAATGCTTATGACATCTTGAAGATATGTACTTCACTGTAACTGCCAAAGTTAACCCTCAAACTGTCACATGGGGGACATGTACGGGGTAACTAAGGAGACCTGATTTTTATATTACCACAGCTGACTAACACTAACAACATATATAAAATGCCAGATTTTCATATACAGCAGTTTCACACAAACACTTTGTGGACACTTGACTTCCATGTAACCATGACCAACTCACACTGAGAACACACATATAAATGGCACAGATTTCAGGTACTACGAAGAGATTTCAGGAATACTAACGTCCAGACTGACATAATTATAGAATGTTCAAGCACACCTAAATCATTCTATGTCTATAGATTGACGACCTCTTTATCTACAAAAGCTTCCATATAGGCCATGACAGTGGCCCTCAAATGTCCATCCCCGCAACAAACTCATCTAAGGCTTCAGCAACCTAAAATAATGAAAAGGAACACAAAAATGTAAGGCAATAAAGACACAATCCACACCACAAACGGTACATTGTAGATAACTGTAATAGAACAATAAGTTAAAATGATTGATCACATGCATGTTACATTTTAGTTTAGTATACTATATATATATATTACCTGTTGATAATCATTACACCACTAATGAAAGTGGGGTTATGAGGAAAATGGCTGCAAATTTAAATCTTTTAATCCTTTTGTAGGAAAAATCAAAAGTTTACATTAAAATTATATTATGAAAAGGTAGAAATCAGCTAAAATGTGACACATTTATCTCAGTCGAGGCGAGATATGCCACAGCGAATCCCTATTGGGGTATCAGCCAGATAAAAAAAAAATTCATGAGAAGAATTAGTTGAAGCAAGTTATAGGAAGTAATGAAGGAAAGACTATAAAGCTATCCACTGAAGGGGTTAAGAATTAAAAGAAAAGAAGACAGACAATTTATATAAAATTTGATTCCCTTGGCTCATGCAGAGATGCTTTATGATAAAGGGAGGTCATTCAACATGGTCTGTACTACAATCAAGTTAATCAATTAAACATGATGGGAAGAAAATTGTGGTCAAGTATGGTTTATATGGTGAAATGTGTATAAAATGCCATTAAAATATAAGTGAAGTTCTGTATGAGAAGTAGTGCTGACAAAATTGTGTCCACAAATAGTGTAACCGATCCTCTTCCTCTAATCTTGTAGTGTGTATGAAGAGAGGGTTGTTTGTTGAAGGGGCCAAAGAAACACCATAACACTTCACCTCTTGTGTGTTTAAAAGGGAAGCATGGCACTATATATATAAATCCAATGTGCCCAGTAATAACTGAATTTACCATTGGCTACACCTCTGAAATAACAAGACAATTAGGCGAATTACAGTCCCCCACCGGATGTGAAATTATAAGCCAAGAATGCACAGATGATAAATTTGTAATAAAATAGTTGTGTAGGAGAAAGAGCGCGGACAAACTTTTTATTTGATGCAGGTCAAAGATCAAAAACAGAGTGACCTACTTTGATATACGACACACTGCCTCACCAAGATGAACCCATACTCCAAGTATAAAGTTCCAGTGACTAGTAGTGTAGGAGATAGAGCCCAGACAAACATTTTCTTTGATGCAGGTCAAAGGTCAAAATGTAGGTCAAAGTGACCTACTTTTGATACATAACACACCGCCTCACCAAGGTTAACCCATATTCCAAGTATGGAGTTCCTGTGACAAGTAGTGTAGGAGATAGAGCCCAGACAAGATAGTGGAAAGACAGACGGAAAACTATAGTCCCCCTGGTTTCCGGTGGGGGACTAACAGAATGCTAATTTGCAGGAGTCAGTAAAATGGTCGTTAGAGTAAGCCCTCCTTGTTCAAAATCCCTTCAACCATTCTAGACTAGTAAGCTTTTAACATAAAGGGTAACACTGCACATGATATAATAAAAAAAAGAGTTCCAATTCCAATTCAGAACTGTTCTACATGTCTAGACAATACAACAACAAGTTTCTCTGACTTACTTCCCTTGTTAAAGTATTTATCTCCCATTTTGATGTTGTGTATCCTGTAAAGAATAATTAGAACAGTGTAGGATTGGCATTGGATAGATACTGAGTTTGATCCTTGAAGTTTCTGTATAAATTACACATATATAATATTTTTGCTTTCAAATTTCAAACAACTATGACTCTGTATGATGCATTGCAAGTAGCTAACCTGGTCTAGGAAATTCATCATTGTGATAAAGATTCAAAAAAGAAAAAAAGGAAATTGCAAAAAGGACAAAACTTTCTATGAAAAACTAAATATTTGCTTTGACGGTTTCTTGCGGTGACCAATAACACTATGTAGCTAGACTAGTTAGTGTTATTTTTCAATGTAACTACACTGTGTTTATACTGTGTTACTAGTGTTACTGAAGTGTGTTACTATACTGTTTTACTATTGTTACTGAAGTGTGTTACTATACTGTGTTGCTAGTGTTACTGAAGTGTGTTACTATACTGTGTTACTATTGTTACTGAAGTGTGTTACTATACTGTGTTACTAATATGTTAGTGCACTTTGTAACTGTACTGTGTTACTACAATGCTATTATACTATAGTGTGTTACTTCACTGTTACTAAACTGTTATTACTCGTTGTTACACTTCTGTAATGATACTTAATTAGTATAATAGTACACTGTGTAACTACATTGTATTGCTATATGTGTTAATAATCCAGCCACTTAACAGTGTTACTAGTGTTACTATATATATTGTCAATGTTTACTATGTTACTTCACTTAACCATTAACTCGTCCACCCCTGAAGACCCATTTTAACTCTTCCAATTCAAAGAATGGAATAGTTCATTATGAAATTTCAGAGGTAAACGAGTTAAACTGCATTCCGTTATACTATACACACAGTCCTACAAACCTGTTCAGAATTACTATAGACTTTAATAGTTTGATTCTAGGTGTTGTCGAGTTTGACTTGGACATTTGGTACTTTAGCGTGGGCAGACCAGAAATATTATTGATACAATTATTTACAGACAGTGTTAAATCAGAAGCCTAACATATGTTGCTGAGGGCACAGGGAGGGGAACCTTATATTTGGAAAAACTGTAATAAAAAGTAAAAAAAGTTCAATGAGGCGTCATTTGTAATTACGTCCATAATCAAGGGAGATAATTCAAAATGCGTAAATCAGTGAATAACAAAATATAAAATTACCTGCAAGTAGCATGAATTGAGAGAAAGAGATATTTTAACTAAATATATATACCATGATTTGTATAGAAATAGGCTATAGGCTGTTGTACTTGTCCTTTGTAATAGCCATACACTGACTGTTCCAGGTATCCACTGTGTTCTTTAGGTTAACCAGATAGACCTCCATCTCTTCTAGTACCTGTCAGGTTACCCAATTACAGGAGAGAAAACATATACGTCAATACACAGATGTTACACAGTTCAATTTGGTTTTAGTTTTGATGTGATGTTGAATTATTCACCATTATTGTCTTGGAAATAATTGAATTAGTAGAACTATGAAGTTTAATAACCTGACCATTGTGACAATTTTCTTTCTCTAAATTCTTAGTCATTACAAAAAAAATATATAAACTTCCAATGTAAATTAAATTTGCTGATTAGTCACCTACTTTACACATCAATCAATAAATCCACTAGCATTGTACTACCTATCAGTTAAAAAAGCGTGCGTGTTGGATAAATATTGTTAATGGAGAAGAACGCCATGACATCTGACTAACAAACACTTGTCATGTCCTCCACTTACTCTCATGTTTCAAATCAACATTGTTTTCAGAGTGCATAAAGAGCTTGAAAAGACTTGGACATAACCTGACAGTAAAATGTAATACAGTATTATGAGAGTTTCTATCAGGCACACATTGTCTATTTATATTGGTGGTATATATGACTGTCTGTAATGTAGGTAATTCATAACGAACTCTTGAAGGGATCAGAATTTACAGTTAAGTGAAACAATCATCACAATTGACCAACACCTTTGACCTCTTGCCATGACATTGACCTCTGCCTTTGACCTTTGGAGTACTGAAGCTCTATTTGACACAATAAACACATTTATGTGGTTTCACAACAAAGTCTGCAGGCAATCAAAGTTATGGACTGGACAATTACAAACTGTTAAAGGACATACTGACAAATAATCAATATTCCTCCCCATTACTTTACTGGGAAAATACAGTAAAACCCTTGTTATACCGCCTTAGTTGTCCAAAGAAATTTTGGAGTTACAACATGGTTTGGCTGTAAAATGTGAGAAATGTATAAAGGAATTTTCAAGAAAACAAGAAAAAAGGGACATAGAAACATGTTGGCCGTAAACATGGGGCATATATATCAAAGTTTTAATCTAGTTAAAATGTCAATATACATGTTCACATCTAAATCACAAATCCAAACAACCACATAATCAAAACACAATCCTGTTGCCCTATATGTCTGCATACAAGGCGCTCTACTGTAGTACATTAGTGATTTACACGTCATTCTGATACACTCTACTGTAGTACATTAGTCATCTACACGTCATTCTGATTTACTCCACTGTAGTACATTAGTCATTTACACGTCATTCTGATACACTCTACTGCTGTATATTAGTGATTTACACGTCATTCTGATACACTCTACTGCTGTATATTAGTGATTTACACGTCATTCTGATACTCTCTACTGTAGTACATTAGTCATTTACACGTCATTGTGATACACTCTACTGCTGTATATTAGTGATTTACACGTCATTCTGATACTCTCTACTGTAGTACATTAGTCATTTACACGTCATTTTGATACACTCTACTGTACTACATTAGTCATTTACACGTCGTTCTGATTCACGCTACTGTAGTACGTTAGTGATTTACACGTCGTTCTGATACACTCTCCTGTAGTACATTAGTCATTTCCACGTCATTCTGATACACTCTACTGCTGTATATTAGTGCTTTACACGTCATTCTGATACACTCTACTGCTGTATATTAGTGATTTACACGTCATTCTGATGCACTCTACTGTACTACATTAGTCATTTACACGTCGTTCTGATTCACTCCACTGTAGTACATTAGTGATTTACACGTCGTTCTGATACACTCTACTGTACTACATTAGTCATTTACACGTCGTTCTGATACACTCTACTGTAGTACATTAGTGATTTACACGTCATTCTGATACCCTCTACTGTAGTACATTAGTCATCTACACGGCATTCTGATTTACTCCACTGTAGTACATTAGTCATTTACACGTCATTCTGATACACTCTACTGTAGTACATTAGTCATTTACACGTCGTTCTGATTCACTCTACTGTAGTACATTAGTGATTTACACGTCGTTCTGATACACTCTCCTGTAGTACATTAGTCATTTACACGTCATTCTGATACACTCTACTGCTGTATATTAGTGATTTACACGTCATTCTGATACACTCTACTGTAGTACATTAGTCATTTACACGTCATTCTGATACACTCTACTGTAGTACATTAGTCATTTACACGTCATTCTGATACACTCTACTGTAGTACATTAGTCATTTACACGTCATTCTGATACACTCTACTGTAGTACATTAGTCATTTACACGTCATTCTGATACACTCTACTGTAGTACATTAGTCATTTACACGTCATTCTGATACACTCTACTGTAGTACATTAGTCATTTACACGTCATTCTGATACACTCTACTGTAGTACATTAGTCATTTACACGTCATTCTGATACACTCTACTGTAGTACATTAGTCATTTACACGTCATTCTGATACACTCTACTGTAGTACATTAGTCATTTACACGTCATTCTGATACACTCTACTGTAGTACATTAGTCATTTACACGTCATTCTGATACACTCTACTGTAGTACATTAGTCATTTACACGTCATTCTGATACACTCTACTGTAGTACATTAGTCATTTACACGTCATTCTGATACACTCTACTGTAGTACATTAGTCATTTACACGTCATTCTGATACACTCTACTGTAGTACATTAGTCATTTACACGTCATTCTGATACACTCTACTGTAGTACATTAGTCATTTACACGTCATTCTGATACACTCTACTGTAGTACATTAGTCATTTACACGTCATTCTGATACACTCTACTGTAGTACATTAGTCATTTACACGTCATTCTGATACACTCTACTGTAGTACATTAGTCATTTACACGTCATTCTGATACACTCTACTGTAGTACATTAGTCATTTACACGTCATTCTGATACACTCTACTGTAGTACATTAGTCATTTACACGTCATTCTGATACACTCTACTGTAGTACATTAGTCATTTACACGTCATTCTGATACACTCTACTGTAGTACATTAGTCATTTACACGTCATTCTGATACACTCTACTGTAGTACATTAGTCATTTACACGTCATTCTGATACACTCTACTGTAGTACATTAGTCATTTACACGTCATTCTGATACACTCTACTGTAGTACATTAGTCATTTACACGTCATTCTGATACACTCTACTGTAGTACATTAGTCATTTACACGTCATTCTGATACACTCTACTGTAGTACATTAGTCATTTACACGTCATTCTGATACACTCTACTGTAGTACATTAGTCATTTACACGTCATTCTGATACACTCTACTGTAGTACATTAGTCATTTACACGTCATTCTGATACACTCTACTGTAGTACATTAGTCATTTACACGTCATTCTGATACACTCTACTGTAGTACATTAGTCATTTACACGTCATTCTGATACACTCTACTGTAGTACATTAGTCATTTACACGTCATTCTGATACACTCTACTGTAGTACATTAGTCATTTACACGTCATTCTGATACACTCTACTGTAGTACATTAGTCATTTACACGTCATTCTGATACACTCTACTGTAGTACATTAGTCATTTACACGTCATTCTGATACACTCTACTGTAGTACATTAGTCATTTACACGTCATTCTGATACACTCTACTGTAGTACATTAGTCATTTACACGTCATTCTGATACACTCTACTGTAGTACATTAGTCATTTACACGTCATTCTGATACACTCTACTGTAGTACATTAGTCATTTACACGTCATTCTGATACACTCTACTGTAGTACATTAGTCATTTACACGTCATTCTGATACACTCTACTGTAGTACATTAGTCATTTACACGTCATTCTGATACACTCTACTGTAGTACATTAGTCATTTACACGTCATTCTGATACACTCTACTGTAGTACATTAGTCATTTACACGTCATTCTGATACACTCTACTGTAGTACATTAGTCATTTACACGTCATTCTGATACACTCTACTGTAGTACATTAGTCATTTACACGTCATTCTGATACACTCTACTGTAGTACATTAGTGATTTACACGTCACTCTGATACACTCTACTGTAGTACATTAGTCATTTACACGTCATTCTGATACATTCTACTGTAGTACATTAGTCATTTACATGTCATTCTGATACACTCTACTGTAGTACATTAGTCATTTACACATCATTCTGATACACTCTCCTGTAGTACATTAGTCATTTACACGTCTTTCTGATACACTCTACTGTAGTACATTACTCATTTACACGTCATTCTGATACAGTCTGTTTTTAATGCTTATCCCGTTAGACAATAACAATACATGATATTACACATAACATAAGTACAATGCTGCTAAATAAGATGAATACAAATGATCCCACGTCATTCTGATACACTCTACTGTAGTACATTACTCATTTACACGTCATTCTGATACAGTCTGTTTTTAATGTTTATCCAGTTAGACAATAACAATACATGATATTACACATAACATAAGTACAATGCTGCTAAATAAGATGAATACAAATGATCCCACGTCATTCTGATACCCTCTACTGTAGTACATTAGTCATCTACACGTCATTCTGATACACTCTACTGTAGAACATTAGTCATTTACACGTCATTCTGATACAGTCTGTTTTTAATGCTTATCCCGTTAGACAATAACAATACATGATATTACACATAACATAAGTACAATCCTGCTAAATAAGATGAATACAAATGATCCCACGTCATTCTGATACACTCTACTGTAGTACATTAGTCATTTACACGTCATTCTGATACAGTCTGTTTTTAATGTTTATCCCGTTAGACAATAACAATACATGATATTACACATAACATAAGTACAATCCTGCTAAATAAGATGAATACAAATGATCCCATCTGACAGTAGGACTGTATGCTATATATAGTTACAAAGCTTGTACTACTGGACCAGACACAATTTTTTTTTTGTTTATCTCTTCAAGAAATTGTTACATAAAAGGTCTTGTTAATATTTTAAATAAATACCTATAGTCTTTTCTGCTTATGTAAACGGACTCTGTGAAATGATATGCTTTGACTTTGACCATCAACAACATTTAATCTCAGAAACAGAGTTAAACACAAAAACTTAACCTTGATGAGCTAACTGACAACATTACTGGACCATACAAACTAAGATCCACACAGCAAAGTAATTAAACCATGAAAAGGGAGATAACTATTAAGTACTGACCTCTTTATTGATATCTTTGGCCTCCATATCCCCGGGGGTTTTCATCAACTTCCTACACAGGTCACTCCTGTTTGGTGCTGCATGAAGAGCCACCTGTAAAATGAATTAAGACGACGGGATCAGACACTGCTGAAATAAATCTGCGTACACTTTCTGTGACAATCCAAACATATTCGGCCATTTAGAATTCACTGTAGTTAAAGGATTATAGAATGATTTGACCATTGAATCTTTGTTATGAGTCTGACTTTACCAGTACAGTTGTCGTCTATTATGGTCATACAGTGAATCCACTTTCGCTTAATATTATAATAAACCTTTTTTTCTTTCAATCAAATGTAATTTCAATATATCAAAAAGAGAACTTTCATTCTTACCTTGAATATACCTTTAGAAATGAGATTATGGTGCTGTTTTAGAGAATTAGCATATGCCTCATTGACAAATGCTACGTTGTTCTCAGTCATATCTCCTCCTTTGTGAGCCGAGACCAGTTGCTCAAAAAATAAGTACATGAACTTCAGCCCTCTGTGAAAAAAGGTTATAGCAATAAATTAATTTCCCAATCTAATACAGACTATATGTGTGCCATGGAACTGTCACATACACACAATGACAGTGTAAACTGGACCTGGCAACTTTTGATTCACAAAACGCTAGACTTTAAAGCTACCAGTATCACCTCCCTTTAATCTGCATATCCTTGAACACAATGCCACACCTGTTACCTCCCTATAAATAACATGCTCTAATTCCCAATGTATTAGCTTCCTTTTAATTAGTTTAATCTGAACTAAAATACTATATATGTAACCTTCCTTTGATGGACAAACCCTGGATTTTAATGATGTATGCATTATCTCCCTTTAACTCATATATCCTGGACAAAAAATACCATGAGTTACTTCCCTTTAAACTTACATACCCTAAACTATAATGCCATGTTTTACCTCTCTTTATATTTGTTGCCTCCCTTTAATTAGCATAATTTAATCTCATTCTTGACTATAATTCTAGAAGTGTTACCTTAATTTAATGAATTTATTTATACTGACTATAATGCCAAGTGTATTACCTCCCTTTAATTTGATACGTCTCTATGGACTTAAATTTGCTGCCTTCTTTTAATTGACATACGTGATCTAAAATACCACATGTGTACATTTCTGTAATTAACATACCCTTGCAGGGCTAGACAATAAGGGAAGCCCGATAGGCTGACCCTAATGAAACCTCCATCTGCACTACTGGTTCTAAAAACCACTAGCCCGATTGACTAGTCAATATTTGATATTGTTTATCTTGTTGAATAACATTGAGTCAATGGAATTTGCACAAGGACTAGTATATACGTAAATATTGGAAAACTACTCCCCAAACTGACTAGTGGTATTCAAAAATAATTTCTTGCCCTGCCTTGTCAGTTATAATACATGTTATTATTACCTACCTTCCCAACCAAATTCCAGCTACGGTGCCCGAATTTTTGCTTTGATAAGTATTTCTTGCCATTTCATCCTCAATAATCTCTTGAATAGTCTTATAATCTCCTCCACTTTCTCTCTTCGCAGCAATAACCTTCCGTAATTTCTGTTAGATAAAATAACTTTTCAGTTAACAAAATTTCACACACAAAAAATGACAAAATGGAAACACATGTTCAGCTTAAATGTATACAATATAGCTAGGTGATACGGAAGGAGGACCACAATCAGATCAGTACTCAAATTGGATCACTTTTTGCAGATATACCTTTAAAACTGTAAATCATTCAAAGGTTCATGCACTTATTTACAATGATGCAGCTTTTGAATGGGGGGGGGGGGGGGGGGTTTAATGACAGGCACCCACCCTGTTCCCAGGACATTTACCATTGTGGCGAGGGGGCTTATTTGCGAGAGGGGGCTTATTGCCGGTAAAATACGGTATATATACTCACCTCGATGTTGCTGTTCATATCAGACTTGACTGGTGAAAAAACCCTTCCAAAGTGATCTGGAATGAAGTAAAAGAAACATGTTGCAGGTAATTTGTACCCGATTAGCTATAGTATTTGGTGTTTCTTTATTTTGGATATTAACCATAAATTTATATAGCAATTGGACCATATTAAAAACCATTATATTACTTAAATATGTTTACACACTATATCCTTACCTTAACCTTAATTATCTCCATGCCAGAAGGTGCATAAGGCCTCATATTTACACACTATATGGCAGGCAAAAATCTTATTCAGTCACTTCAATGGTATGTTTACATATATATACTTAGTGAGAAATTGGATAGAGTTTACGTAGATTGAAAGATTTGGTCTGAATAATGTTGCTAATTTTCAAATCTTTGACCAAAAAATCATCACACACAAATTTATGGTCATTTAATTAATTCAATACTGAAATATTTAAGGAATTTTGTTCTGTTTTGGTCAAGCTTAAAACAAAACCAAACAACAAATCAGGGTTTGTGTTTCAGCCTTTCCTATATCATTTTGATGAATAGAAATAGTAAACTATCAAGGAAACCCTTTCTACAGTGAGCCGTGGGAGTTCTTGGGACACTATTGAATTATCAACATGTTGATGCCACTACATTGGTTGCTGATCATGATGATCAACAGAGCTAGAGTGGTCACCTTCAGTAAACGGGAGCGTTATACCATGCAACCAAATAAGAGTATCTTACTTGAAATACTCACACATTACCAAGATGAGAGTATCAAATCAATCGACACATTGAATATGGATGAAAATACCACTACTAGCAGACATTTATTCATACTTGCATGAATATATCCCAGCCCATATTATTGACACGAATTTAACAAGGCTCATCTTACACAGCTGCTGCCTTTTGTGTGATGCTTTGCTTCCTGCTTTCGATGTATCCATACTAAATATTTAAACCGCTTTATCAACATGTGTCTGCTATACCAGCTACACGTAGTGTGTAGTAAGCAACTAAACAAACTAGCTTGTACTAGGTAGAATACAGGTAGTGCTTTCCCATCACACCACCAGGGGTACTTTTTGCTGTAAATTTTTGACTATCAATCTAAGCCTGTGCGAAAGTGGTGCCTTTACCCTGGACCTTGGATATTTTTATAGTGAACGGATCCACTACCACAGTTGTTGTACTCCACTAAACACAGTGGTTCTCCTATCCAAACACAGTTGCAGGACACACTTATATGATTGCATAATTGCATATATATGTAAGTGTGTCCTGTACCTGCGTATCCAAGGAGGGTACACACAGAAAACAATAGCCGGCATAGCCGGCCAGCGGCATCGGTTTTGAAGTTGCAACTTCTTAAAATGTATAAGATCGACGATTCCTTAACTATACATATTTTCCTTTATTTAATCCACTTATCATAAGCGATTTCAAGAAGTGATTTCTAGTTTAGAAACGAGTGCAGTCCTTGAGGTACAACGGCAGAGCGGTTTGTTTTCGAGGCCAATATACTTAAAGTAATTTCAGGTATACTGGCATTACTTGATTGACTACTTACCGAACACCACGGTTATCTGACTGGTTTTGCCAAGAAATGTGTCTAATTCAATAGCCCCATCTTCAGGCACAGGGTCGTAAAACTTCTCTCGATCGAAAAATGTCCGTGCATTTGCCATTCTCAGTGCCGGAATCGGAATGTCTTTGCATGCAAGTACCTGCTACGTTACCGGAAGTAAACAATCGCTTTATGTTGAATTTCGTATATGTTACTGAAACCAAGTAATGGCCATTCCAATAACAGAACCAAATAACGCATCTATAAACAAGAAGCACATGGGCCTTAATAGCTCACCTGGTATTTTATTTTTCAAATGAGTACCAAACAGGTTTATCAAAGGAGTACAAGAAACAAAGTTGCAAGAAGAACTACATATAAATCTGTTTTGGTAGGAAAGACACCAAGAAAATGAGTTTCCATGTTATGTCCCAATTTTCCTCTATTTCCCCTATTGGGCCTCACACGCACCTTTTTATACAAATTAAACAAATTGATTTTTTCCCCCTAAGTATGCTTCAGACACATCTTCAATTTATAAATATTCAATTCCCTTTGGCCAAAGATTCTCTAGAACAAGTTTGGTTAAAATCCCTTCAACGGTACAGAAGGAGAAGGATCTTTAATGTTTTCCTCTATTTCACCTAATGTGCCCCACTCATCTGCCCCAAAAAATGGGGTCCACACACCGCAGTTTAAACAAAATTGAGGCTCCTTTGTCCAAAGATGCTCTAGAACAAATTTGGTCAAAATCCTTCTATTGGTTGAAAAGAAGATTTTTAAAGATTTACCTACCCCCACCCCCCCACCCCCGCCCTATTTGGCCCCNGGACCATACCCTCCGCTTATATAAAACTGAGAACCCTTTGGCCAATGACGCTCCAGTCAAAGTCCCTTCATCGGTCTAAAGGAGAAGGATCTTTGATGTTTTCCTCTATTTCCCCTAATGGGCCCCAACCATCTGCTCCTAGAAGGAGGCCCACACACCTCAGTTTATACAAAATTGATTCTTTTGTCCCTAATCATGCTTCAGACTGCATTTGGTTTAAATCCCTTCACTTGTATAGTAGGAGAAAAAAAATCCTCTATTTCCCCTACTGGGCCCCGTCCCTCCGCCCCCAGAGAGGCCACACCCTCCGTTTATAAAAACTTGAGTCTCCTTCGTACAAAAATGCTCTAGGACAAATTTGGTCAAAATCCTTCTATTGGTTGAGAAGAAGAAGATTTTTAAAAATTTACCTATTTCCCCCCCTATTTGGCCCCACCCCTCTGCCCCCAGGGGGACCATACCCTCCGTTAATACAAAACTGAGAACCCTTTGGCCAATGATGCTTCGGGCCAGGTGAGCTAAAAGTAGCTTTGAGAACATGGTGACCACAGATGTCTTATTTGTAGGACATTTGGTGAAAACTGTCCTGAAGGGAATCGGGATGGTATTTGAACATTTTAATCTCACCCCTGTGTGTATTAAATATGAATCAAGGTAATAATTTTCTGTTAACGTTAAAGTAATACTTAGAAATTGTCAAACATCAAGATTCTATGCTTTTAGTTTGTGACATTTCAAAGGTCACAGATAGATTTTACAGAGGTGAACATCCTTCTTGAGTAAACAGTTCAGGTCATAGAGAAGTCGTCAGACAATAGATCAGGTGAGAACTTAGGCAAGTTCCTTAGTCAGGTTCAAGGTCACCTCAGGTAGACAGTTCAGGTCATAGAGAAGTTGTCAGACCATAGATCAGGTGAGAACTTAGGCAAGTTCCTAAGTCAGGTTCCGGGGTCACCTCAAGTAGACAGTTCAGGTCATAGAGAATTCGTCAGACAATAGATCAGGTGAGAACTTAGGCAAGGTCCTTAGTCAGGTTCTGGGGTCACCTCAGGGAGACAGTTCAGGTCATAGAGAAGTTGTCAGACAATAGATCAGGTGAGAACTTAGGCAAGTTCCTTAGTCAGGTTCCGGGGTCACCTCAGGTAGACAGTTCAGGTCATAGAGAAGTTGTCAGACAATAGATCAGGTGAGAACTTAGGCAAGTTCCTTAGTCAGGTTCCGGGGTCACCTCAGGTAGACAGTTCAGGTCATAGAGAAGTTGTCAGACAATAGATCAGGTGAGAACTTAGGCAAGTTCCTTAGTCAGGTTCCGGGGTCACCTCAGGTAGACAGTTCAGGTCATAGAGAAGTTGTCAGACAATAGATCAGGTGAGAACTTAGGCAAGTTCCTTAGTCAGGTTCCGGGGTCACCTCAGGTAGACAGTTCAGGTCATAGAGAAGTTGTCAGACAATAGATCAGGTGAGAACTTAGGCAAGTTCCTTAGTCAGGTTCCGGGGTCACCTCAGGTAGACAGTTCAGGTCATAGAGAAGTTGTCAGACAATAGATCAGGTGAGAACTTAGGCAAGTTCCTTAGTCAGGTTCCGGGGTCACCTCAGGTAGACAGTTCAGGTCATAGAGAAGTTGTCAGACAATAGATCAGGTGAGAACTTAGGCAAGTTCCTTAGTCAGGTTCCGGGGTCACCTCAGGTAGACAGTTCAGGTCATAGAGAAGTTGTCAGACAATAGATCAGGTGAGAACTTAGGCAAGTTCCTTAGTCAGGTTCCGGGGTCACCTCAGGTAGACAGTTCAGGTCATAGAGAAGTTGTCAGACAATAGATCAGGTGAGAACTTAGGCAAGTTCCTTAGTCAGGTTCCGGGGTCACCTCAGGTAGACAGTTCAGGTCATAGAGAAGTTGTCAGACAATAGATCAGGTGAGAACTTAGGCAAGTTCCTTAGTCAGGTTCCGGGGTCACCTCAGGTAGACAGTTCAGGTCATAGAGAAGTTGTCAGACAATAGATCAGGTGAGAACTTAGGCAAGTTCCTTAGTCAGGTTCCGGGGTCACCTCAGGTAGACAGTTCAGGTCATAGAGAAGTTGTCAGACAATAGATCAGGTGAGAACTTAGGCAAGTTCCTTAGTCAGGTTCCGGGGTCACCTCAGGTAGACAGTTCAGGTCATAGAGAAGTTGTCAGACAATAGATCAGGTGAGAACTTAGGCAAGTTCCTTAGTCAGGTTCCGGGGTCACCTCAGGTAGACAGTTCAGGTCATAGAGAAGTTGTCAGACAATAGATCAGGTGAGAACTTAGGCAAGTTCCTTAGTCAGGTTCCGGGGTCACCTCAGGTAGACAGTTCAGGTCATAGAGAAGTTGTCAGACAATAGATCAGGTGAGAACTTAGGCAAGTTCCTTAGTCAGGTTCCGGGGTCACCTCAGGTAGACAGTTCAGGTCATAGAGAAGTTGTCAGACAATAGATCAGGTGAGAACTTAGGCAAGTTCCTTAGTCAGGTTCCGGGGTCACCTCAGGTAGACAGTTCAGGTCATAGAGAAGTTGTCAGACAATAGATCAGGTGAGAACTTAGGCAAGTTCCTTAGTCAGGTTCCGGGGTCACCTCAGGTAGACAGTTCAGGTCATAGAGAAGTTGTCAGACAATAGATCAGGTGAGAACTTAGGCAAGTTCCTTAGTCAGGTTCCGGGGTCACCTCAGGTAGACAGTTCAGGTCATAGAGAAGTTGTCAGACAATAGATCAGGTGAGAACTTAGGCAAGTTCCTTAGTCAGGTTCCGGGGTCACCTCAGGTAGACAGTTCAGGTCATAGAGAAGTTGTCAGACAATAGATCAGGTGAGAACTTAGGCAAGTTCCTTAGTCAGGTTCCGGGGTCACCTCAGGTAGACAGTTCAGGTCATAGAGAAGTTGTCAGACAATAGATCAGGTGAGAACTTAGGCAAGTTCCTTAGTCAGGTTCCGGGGTCACCTCAGGTAGACAGTTCAGGTCATAGAGAAGTTGTCAGACAATAGATCAGGTGAGAACTTAGGCAAGTTCCTTAGTCAGGTTCCGGGGTCACCTCAGGTAGACAGTTCAGGTCATAGAGAAGTTGTCAGACAATAGATCAGGTGAGAACTTAGGCAAGTTCCTTAGTCAGGTTCCGGGGTCACCTCAGGTAGACAGTTCAGGTCATAGAGAAGTTGTCAGACAATAGATCAGGTGAGAACTTAGGCAAGTTCCTTAGTCAGGTTCCGGGGTCACCTCAGGTAGACAGTTCAGGTCATAGAGAAGTTGTCAGACAATAGATCAGGTGAGAACTTAGGCAAGTTCCTTAGTCAGGTTCCGGGGTCACCTCAGGTAGACAGTTCAGGTCATAGAGAAGTTGTCAGACAATAGATCAGGTGAGAACTTAGGCAAGTTCCTTAGTCAGGTTCCGGGGTCACCTCAGGTAGACAGTTCAGGTCATAGAGAAGTTGTCAGACAATAGATCAGGTGAGAACTTAGGCAAGTTCCTTAGTCAGGTTCCGGGGTCACCTCAGGTAGACAGTTCAGGTCATAGAGAAGTTGTCAGACAATAGATCAGGTGAGAACTTAGGCAAGTTCCTTAGTCAGGTTCCGGGGTCACCTCAGGTAGACAGTTCAGGTCATAGAGAAGTTGTCAGACAATAGATCAGGTGAGAACTTAGGCAAGTTCCTTAGTCAGGTTCCGGGGTCACCTCAGGTAGACAGTTCAGGTCATAGAGAAGTTGTCAGACAATAGATCAGGTGAGAACTTAGGCAAGTTCCTTAGTCAGGTTCCGGGGTCACCTCAGGTAGACAGTTCAGGTCATAGAGAAGTTGTCAGACAATAGATCAGGTGAGAACTTAGGCAAGTTCCTTAGTCAGGTTCCGGGGTCACCTCAGGTAGACAGTTCAGGTCATAGAGAAGTTGTCAGACAATAGATCAGGTGAGAACTTAGGCAAGTTCCTTAGTCAGGTTCCGGGGTCACCTCAGGTAGACAGTTCAGGTCATAGAGAAGTTGTCAGACAATAGATCAGGTGAGAACTTAGGCAAGTTCCTTAGTCAGGTTCCGGGGTCACCTCAGGTAGACAGTTCAGGTCATAGAGAAGTTGTCAGACAATAGATCAGGTGAGAACTTAGGCAAGTTCCTTAGTCAGGTTCCGGGGTCACCTCAGGTAGACAGTTCAGGTCATAGAGAAGTTGTCAGACAATAGATCAGGTGAGAACTTAGGCAAGTTCCTTAGTCAGGTTCCGGGGTCACCTCAGGTAGACAGTTCAGGTCATAGAGAAGTTGTCAGACAATAGATCAGGTGAGAACTTAGGCAAGTTCCTTAGTCAGGTTCCGGGGTCACCTCAGGTAGACAGTTCAGGTCATAGAGAAGTTGTCAGACAATAGATCAGGTGAGAACTTAGGCAAGTTCCTTAGTCAGGTTCCGGGGTCACCTCAGGTAGACAGTTCAGGTCATAGAGAAGTTGTCAGACAATAGATCAGGTGAGAACTTAGGCAAGTTCCTTAGTCAGGTTCCGGGGTCACCTCAGGTAGACAGTTCAGGTCATAGAGAAGTTGTCAGACAATAGATCAGGTGAGAACTTAGGCAAGTTCCTTAGTCAGGTTCCGGGGTCACCTCAGGTAGACAGTTCAGGTCATAGAGAAGTTGTCAGACAATAGATCAGGTGAGAACTTAGGCAAGTTCCTTAGTCAGGTTCCGGGGTCACCTCAGGTAGACAGTTCAGGTCATAGAGAAGTTGTCAGACAATAGATCAGGTGAGAACTTAGGCAAGTTCCTTAGTCAGGTTCCGGGGTCACCTCAGGTAGACAGTTCAGGTCATAGAGAAGTTGTCAGACAATAGATCAGGTGAGAACTTAGGCAAGTTCCTTAGTCAGGTTCCGGGGTCACCTCAGGTAGACAGTTCAGGTCATAGAGAAGTTGTCAGACAATAGATCAGGTGAGAACTTAGGCAAGTTCCTTAGTCAGGTTCCGGGGTCACCTCAGGTAGACAGTTCAGGTCATAGAGAAGTTGTCAGACAATAGATCAGGTGAGAACTTAGGCAAGTTCCTTAGTCAGGTTCCGGGGTCACCTCAGGTAGACAGTTCAGGTCATAGAGAAGTTGTCAGACAATAGATCAGGTGAGAACTTAGGCAAGTTCCTTAGTCAGGTTCCGGGGTCACCTCAGGTAGACAGTTCAGGTCATAGAGAAGTTGTCAGACAATAGATCAGGTGAGAACTTAGGCAAGTTCCTTAGTCAGGTTCCGGGGTCACCTCAGGTAGACAGTTCAGGTCATAGAGAAGTTGTCAGACAATAGATCAGGTGAGAACTTAGGCAAGTTCCTTAGTCAGGTTCCGGGGTCACCTCAGGTAGACAGTTCAGGTCATAGAGAAGTTGTCAGACAATAGATCAGGTGAGAACTTAGGCAAGTTCCTTAGTCAGGTTCCGGGGTCACCTCAGGTAGACAGTTCAGGTCATAGAGAAGTTGTCAGACAATAGATCAGGTGAGAACTTAGGCAAGTTCCTTAGTCAGGTTCCGGGGTCACCTCAGGTAGACAGTTCAGGTCATAGAGAAGTTGTCAGACAATAGATCAGGTGAGAACTTAGGCAAGTTCCTTAGTCAGGTTCCGGGGTCACCTCAGGTAGACAGTTCAGGTCATAGAGAAGTTGTCAGACAATAGATCAGGTGAGAACTTAGGCAAGTTCCTTAGTCAGGTTCCGGGGTCACCTCAAGTAGACAGTTCAGGTCATAGAGAAGTTGTCAGACAATAGGTCAGGTGAGAACTTAGGGTCACCTCAGGTAGACAGTTCAGGGTTGGTAACTTTTGAGTTTGAAGGTCATACAGTTAGAGAGGATATCAATAGAACATAAGTCCTCCAGCGGCAGCACCGGCATGGACTAAGAGGAGGCTTTCAAACAGTGGAATGCCAGCAACAGGAGGAGGATACTGTTCCCTTCCAAAGGGCAGTAACAGTGTTGTGTGAGGATATCCTGATGATGAAATTTTTCTTGAACTTCTAAAAGTTTATGAACACTACAATTGTGTATAAACATATTTTTAAAGAAAGCTGATTTTGTTATTGTAAAATAGTATTGTTATGTATTGATGTTATTTATTGCTAAATGTGAAAATAAAGTATATATGGTATTGATATATGTGGTGGTTTTATTTCTTCAAAGTCACAGCAATATTAATTATTGGATGTTACAATTGGGACCTAATAGAGCCGACCAGCTGGGGGCGACGGATCCGAGAAAGGAAGGCGACTGTTAAAACAAAATGGCTACTAAAAAATGCACTTGGCTATTTTTTGGGCTACTAAATCTTTTGGTCCAAGGTGAGCCCTGAGATCCCAGCCATGGCGTAAGTTCTCTTGACACTTGTACCTGAGGTGAGCTAACAATGCACAAAAACATATAAACCACAACAGAATTCAGTTTTAGTAGGTTTGTATTCATAATACTTATTATATATTATTGTTACATCATATATGGCCTTGTTTATACACTGAATACACTTCAAATACAACACAATAAGTCATTCTGTGATCAGTCTGTCACATCTTCTCAATCTGTGATTAGGAAATCAAGCAGCATCATTACAACCTGTGATAACTGTCAACATTTATGCAAAGCTTTTTGTAATGTATATACCGGTATATATTAATCAAAATTTCAATGCAAAAAGGTAATATTTGTGCAGGTTCTGTGATCATTTAGTAGACTCGTATCTCCCTTATAGGACTCCAGTACTCCCACATAGGGTAGGACTGGAGACTAGCCTTAGGGTAGTTGTTTTGTTATACAAATCTTAGGTGCGCAATGTCTTTTAATACTTTATACACAAAGACAAAAAAGTAGTGAACAATGTGTACTAAATTGATAGGTTTTGTTTCCGTGATCATCAACACAAAGTGACCTTTCTGTTTCACCAAGTGGGTACATATCTAGATATATGAAACATGAATACATAGCTAGCTAGGGCCAAAAACAGGGATCAGTACAGATTCAACAATACAAATGTACAACAAAATTGACAGCAACTCCGTCATAAAGTACCCAGTTATTACACTGTGTGTGAGGTGGTGCATCGTAGCTACCGTATAAGGCAAGTTAACAGGTGACATTTATAAATGTCAAATCTAAAACCAGTATATATGAATATATATCTATAATATAAAAGCATAATTTAAATAAAATGAATAAAATAAATCAGTATTAAATAAGTATAGCTTGCTAATGATAAAACACAGCAGTAATTATATGACAGTGTTTATGTTTGACGGGTTGTCTCCCTTCATTTAAGAATATTTCTCTAGGTGTAGTACATATAATATGTTGCCACATCTTTTAAGAAATGAAGAAATTATCAGTTTCATTATGAAAATCAAGTCTAACAATTTGTCTGTCCTTGACTCCAACTTTTTCACATTGACCTTTGACCAGCAAAAGACAAGATTAAAGTTTTGATTAACAATCATGTATCTTGTGCCTATACATTAAGCATTAGTAAGGAAAATACAGTTGTGTTCATGACTAAATTGTCCAGTTTTCTCAGGAATGTTTACAGGTAAAACATGTACACTGTACTACAAAATTATCTTTGACTACTACGATTACCTCTGGTTGTCTGTAACTCTCCCCTACATCAGGTCTATCCCCTATCCAATGTTGTTACCCAAGGTCATTCTGTCTGTACCCTATCTAATGTTGTTACCTATTGTCATTCTGTCCGTCTGATATTTTAAGTGGCTCCCTCAGCTCATTCTGTCTGTTCCCTATCCAATGTTGTTACCTATTGTCATTCTGTCCGTCTGATATTTTAAGTGGCTCCCTCAGCTCATTCTGTCTGTTCCCTATCCAATGTTGTTACCTATCGTCATTCTGTCTGTCTGATATCTAAAGTGGGTACCTCAGCACATTCTGTCTGTTCCCTATCCAATGTTGTTACCTATCGTCATTCTGTCTGTCTGATATCTAAAGTGGTTACCTCACTCATTCTGTCTGTACCCTATCCAATGTTGTTACCTATTGTCATTCTGTCCGTCTGATATTTTAAGTGGCTACCTCAGCTCATTCTGTCTGTACCCTATCCAATGTTGTTACCTAATGTCATTCTGTCTGTCTGATATCTAAAGTGCCTACCTCAGCTCATTCTGTCTGTGCCCTATCCAATGTTGTTACCTATTGTCATTCTGTCTGTCTGATATCTAAAGTGCCTACCTCAGCTCATTCTGTCTGTACCCTATCCAATGTGGTTACCCAAGGTCATTCTGTCTGCACCCTATCCAATGTGGTTACCCAAGGTCATTCTGTCTGTCTGTCTGTCTGATATCTAAAGTGGTTACCTCAGCTCATTCTGTCTATTCCCTATCCAATGTGGTTACCCAAGGTCATTCTGTCTGTCTGATATCTAAAGTGGCTACCTCAGCTCATTCTGTCTGTGACCTATCCAATGTGGTTACCCAAGGTCCTTCTGTCTGTCTGATATCTAAAGTGGCTACCTCAGCTCATTCTCTCTGTACCCTATCCAATGTGGTTACCCAATGTCATTCTGTCTGTCTGTCTGTCTGATATCTAAAGTGGTTACCTCCGCTCATTCTGTCTGTACCCTATCCAATGTGGTTACCCAAGGTCATTCTGTCTGTCTGTCTGTCTAACGTGGTTACCTCAGGTCATCCTGTCTGTCCTCTAAATATAGTGATTGCCTCAGGTCATCCTGTCTGTCCTCTATCTATTGTGATTACCTCACGTCATCCTGTCTGTCCTCTATCTATTGTGATTACCTCATATCATCCTGTCTGTCCTCTAAATATAGTGATTGCCTTAGGTCATCCTATCTGTCCTCTATCTATAGTGATTGCCTCAGGTCATCCTGTCTGTCCTCTATCTATTGTGATTGCCTCATGTCATCCTGTCTGTCCTCTAAATATTGTGATTACCTCAGGTCATCCCGTCTGTCCTCTAAATATTGTGATTACCTCATGTCATCCTGTCTGTCCCCTAAATATTGTGATTACCTCAGGTCATCCTGTCTGTCCTCTATCTATTGTGATTCCCTCATGTCATCCTGTCTGTCCTCTAACTATTGTGATTACCTCATGTCATCATGTCTGTCCTCTATCTATTGTGATGACCTCATGTCATCCTGTCTGTCCTCTACATATTGTGATTACATCATGTCATCCTGTCTGTCCTCTATATATTGTGATTGCCTCAGGTCATCCCGTCTGTCCTCTAAATATTGTGATTACCTCAGGTCATCCGGTCTGTCCTCTAAATATTGTGATTACATCATGTCATCCAGTCTGTCCTCTAAATATTGTGATTACCTCATGTCATCCTGTCTGTCCTCTAAATATTGTGATTACCTCATGTCATCTTGTCTGTCCTCTAAATAGAGTGGTCACCTTAAGTCATCCCCTAATCTAAAGGATGACTTGAGGTGACCACTTTGCATAATGGACAGACAAGAAGACCAGAAGTAATGGAATTTGATATGAAAATAGGAAAATGACCTATAAGAAGTTATTGGTTAATGCCCTATGTCTGTTACTGACCCTGTAATATAATGACCAGTACTCTAGAAATGGCCCATGTTTATTCCTGATCTTTAGTGAGCAGCTCTTGGTTTAATGCCGACCTACATTACTGACCTGTAATCTAGTAATGTACTGTAAAACCTCATTATACAGCCACCATTTGTCAAGAGAAATGATGGCATTATAAAAGGGTTTGACAAATTGGAAAACATATACAAAGGAATTCTGCAAAAAAAGACAAAAATGGATATTGAAATATGTTGTCGCTAAGCAAATGTTATGGTTTTTTACTACAGACAATAGCTGTGGAATTATAGTGTTGTAATTACTAGGTATATAAAGAAGATTCACTGGGAAGTAGAATTCTCAGATTCAAATGAATACAAAAATTCCAAAAATAAACTCTAACGCTAAAATAACACCTGTATCTAGTTGATGCTTCATCACAGTGTAATGACCATTTGTTAACAAAACGTGTCACATTTTTACAATCTATCAAAATTATTATGCATTATACATCTTGTCACGGTGTTGAGTTCATTGACAAACACATTATTGTAACAATGCCATGGGTTTTTGTTCTTTGACAGAAATCAATATTTCTGTGGTACCAGTACATACATTGTGTATTTACAAATTAAAATTATCACAATGCCATAACATTCAAACAAACTAAATGAAATCTACACAAAATAAATAGAATGACGGACTACAAAACTAGCAGCTTTCATCCTTCCCAGATGAAACAAATAAACCTGAAGAGCCATGGAAGGTTGAAAGCAGCTTGTTCTTCAGTCAGTCGTTAGATCCTATTTTTTCTATACTAACCTAATTCACATGGACATTTAATCTAATTTTTTTATTACTGAATATTACATATATATGATAGTTTTAGGATGTACTGTATATTAAACCTTATCAATCACAACCACTGTTGTGTGCAGAAAACAAACCCCAGGAGACCCAAGAAATAATTTTCCTGTCCCAGTGGCATGCCAGGCGAGTGTCCTACCAATTTTCTTTAAAAATAATGTTGTATTCTCGTTTTGGACCAAACCCCGTCACAAATTAAAAAAAAGAAAAGATGCATATATAACTATTAATTTACATACATATACATTTACCAGTATATTCAACACATTGATAGCCAGCAATACTGAGTCTATAAACCCGGCCTGTCTAGACAGACTACTGGTATATAAGACAGGTTATTACACTGTACAGACATTCCTTCACTAAACTGGTACACATACATAAAGTGGGAGATTATGGCACAGAATTCAAGTTCTAAATGTTAATACTTTACAATTAGTGTCTCTTTAATGTTATGAACAAATAGCAAAATGTGTGAAAGAACTGAAGGATGAAATGTGACAAGTTTTTATTTACAGTAAAAATCTGGACTCTTTAATCTCATATGTGTAAATAGCAATCGCAGTGAAAAATACAACAGATAAAGCAAGTCATAATAAGACAATGTGAAACATGCTTTATCAACATCAGATGTTATGAACATTTAGCAGCATTTATACAAGTTGACCTGCTATAGTTCTCTACTGTGATTCAACCCGGACATATTGTGAAATTTACCTGCTGGACGGTAAGCTATGTTGATCTTTTGTACACTAATTAAGGCTGATCATTGTCGGACGTTTTCCTTGTCCATTCACCTTGTCATATATCAAATAGTAGACTGCTAGGACTAGAGTTATGGTAATGTATGGTGTTTTGAGTAAGTAATGGAAGCACAAACACAATGATCTAATATAGAATTTACATACCCTGTAAATGTCTTCTTCACTTAATCAATTAAAAAACATCTAAAACACTTGCATGTATTTTCTCTGTTTGTCTAAACAGTGATGAGGCATCACCCCATACACATAAAATATATATCAAACATAATACATTGCACACACCAAACCTATCACACAAAAGCTTCATTTACCTCCATACATCCAAACAAATATTTCTTAAAGTTAAAAGCAAACCTGATTTATTTTTTGTCATATTTCTTACATTCAGTCACATAAATATGTAGTGCTACACACACACAGATGACATATGTAGTGATACATAAACACAGTATGACATATGTAGTGATACATACACACACAGTATGTCATATGTAGTTATACATACACACACAGTATGACATATGTAGTGATACGTACACACACAGTATGACATTGTAGTGATACATACACACACAGTATGACATATATAGTGAAACATCAACAGAGTATGACATATGTAGTGATACATACACACATTATGACATATGTAGTGATACATACACACAGTATGACATATGTAGTGATACAAACACACACAGTATGACATATGTAGTGATACATGTACAAACAGATTGACACAAGTAGTGACACATCCAGAATGACACTATAGTAACACATCCAGAATGACACTATAGTGACACGACCAGAATGACACTATAGTGACACATCCACAATGACACTATAGTGACACATCCAGAATGACACTACATAAATATGTAGTGCTACACACACACAGATGACATACGTAGTGATACATAAACACAGTATGACATATGTAGTGATACATACTCACAGTATGACAAATGTAGTGATACATACACACACAGTATTACATATGTAGTGATACATACACACACAGTATGTCATATGTAGTTATACATACACACACAGTATGACATATGTAGTTATACATACACACACAGTATTACATATGTAGTGATACATACACACACAGTATGTCATATGTAGTTATACATACACACACAGTATTACATATGTAGTGATACATACACACACAGTATGTCATATGTAGTTATACATACACACACAGTATTACATATGTAGTGATACATACACACACAGTATGACAAATGTAGTGATACATCCACACACAGTATGACATATGTAGTGATACAAACACACACATTTTGTCATATTTCTTACATTCAGTCACATAAATATGTAGTGCTACACCCACACAGATGACATATGTAGTGATACATAAACGCAGTATGACATATGTAGTGATACATACACACTCTGTATGTCATATGTAGTTATACATACACACACAGTATGACATATGTAGTAATACATATACAAAGTATGACATATGTAGTGATACATACATAAACAGTATGACATATGTAGTGATACATACTCACAGTATGACAAATGTAGTGATACATACACACAGTATGACAAATGTAGTGATACATCCACACACAGTATGACATATGTAGTGATACACACACAGTATGACATATGTAGTGATACATATACAAACAGATTGACACAAGTAGTGACACATCCAGATTGACACAAGTAGTGACACATCAAGAATGACACTATAGTGACACATCCAGAATTACACTATAGTGACACATCCAGAATGACACTAAAGTGACACGACCAGAATGACACTATAGTGACACATCCAGTATGACATATGTAGTGAAACATACACACAGTATGACATATGTAGTGATACTTACACACAGTATGACATATATAGTGAAACATAAACAGAGTATGACATATGTAGTGATACATACACACACAGTATGACTAATGTAGTGATACATACACACACAGTATGACATATGTAGTCATACATACACACACAGTATGACATATGTAGTTATACATACACACACAGTATTACATATGTAGTGATACATACACACACAGTATGACATATATAGTGAAACATAAACAGAGTATGACATATGGAGTGATACATACCCACACAGTATGACATATGTAATGATACATACACACACAGTATGACATATGTAGTTATACATACACACACAGTATGACATATGTAGTCATACATACACACACAGTATGACATATGTAGTGATACACACACAGTATGACATATGTAGTGATACACACACAGTATGACATATGTAGTGATACATGTACAAACAGATTGACACAAGTAGTGACACATCCAGATTGACACAAGTAGTGACACATCAAGAATGACACTATAGTGACACATCCAGAATTACACTATAGTGACACATCCAGAATGACACTAAAGTGACACGACCAGAATGACACTATAGTGACACATCCACAATGACACTATAGTGACACATCCAGAATGACACTATAATAACACACACATCCAGAATGACACAAGTAGTGACACTTCCAAAATGACACATCTGCTGATGCACATATATGCAGTGATACATACACACAGTATGACATATGTAGTGATACTTACACACAGTATGACATATATAGTGAAACATAGACAAACAGATTGACACAAGCAGTGACACATCCAGATTGACACAAGTAGTGACACATCAAGAATGACACTATAGTGACACATCCATAATGACACTATAGTAACACATCCAGAATGACACTATAGTGACACATCCAGAATGACACTATAGTGACACACACATCCAGAATGACACAAGTAGTGACACTTCCAAAATGACACATCTGCTGATGCACATATATCCTGATATATTTAGTGACAGGTGATAGGAAAACTTTTCTTCATTGACAGCAGCAGGCGTACTTTTCCACTTGTCCAATGAAATGAGAATTCTCATCTTATGAAATGCACAATGTAAAAGATTGAATCTCAGATATCTCCTTGGTGCTCGTTTGATGTGACACATTCTCATCGCACCTGTCGCACATGATAACACTAAAATCTCTTATCAATGTCAAAATGTGTTTGATTGTTAGAACGTTCCGCCGAGACTGAGGACGTCAAAGCAGATGTCACAGACACGTACAGGCTTAGACAGGTTGTACTTGACGATAGGCATGTCTTTGGCAGAACACTTGGCACAGACTAGACGTCCACAGTGACGACTGCAACACAACAACACACAGCATATCAATGTAAAGATTCAACTCAATAAACAGATATCTCAAAAGTGACGGAACAATTCAACACAGAGATTCATTATGGTAAAGATTCAACTCAATAAACAGATATCTCAAAAGTGACAGAACAATTCAACACAGAGATTTATTATGGTAAAGATTCAACTCAATACACAGATATCTCAAAAGTGACGGAACAATTCAACACAGAGATTTATTATGGTAAAGATTCAATTCAATAAACAGACTTCTTGAAATTATCTCAGGAGAAAATCAGGTTATGTCTCAGCAGTCTTGATAGTAACTACAGTCAAATAAGCTTTAACAGCCACCTGTTATAGTCACCTGCTGTCAGAGGTAACTTTCAGTTTTGGTATTCTTGCCATATAACATTTCCAAGTACATCAGGCCAGTATTAAAATGACATCCTATTAAACATTTCACTTACTGTCAAGGACTTACAAATGATAACCTGCCTCTCCGGACTTGTAACTCATCCTCCCCACTAAGACTAACAACTGATCCTCTACCCCACCAAGACTTACAACTGATCCTCTACCCCACCAAGATTTACAACTGATCCTCTACCCCACCAAGACTTACAATTGATCCTCTACCCCACCAAGACTTACAATTGATCCTCTACCCCACTAAGACTAACAACTGATCCTCTACCCCACCAAGACTTACAACTGATCCTCTACCCCACCAAGACTTACAACTGATCCTCTACCCCACCAAGACTTACAACTGATCCTCTACCCCACCAAGACTTACAACTGATCCTCTACCCCACCAAGACTTACAACTGATCCTCTACCCCACCAAGACTTACAACTGATCCTCTACCCCACCAAGACTTACAACTGATCCTCTACCCCACCAAGACTTACAACTGATCCTCTACCCCACCAAGACTTACAACTGATCCTCTACCCCACCAAGACTTACAACTGATCCTCTACCCCACCAAGACTTACAACTGATCCTCTACCCCACCAAGACTTACAACTGATCCTCTACCCCACCAAGACTTACAACTGATCCTCTACCCCACCAAGACTTACAACTGATCCTCTACCCCACCAAGACTTACAACTGATCCTCTACCCCACCAAGACTTACAACTGATCCTCTACCCCACCAAGACTTACAACTGATCCTCTACCCCACCAAGACTTACAACTGATCCTCTACCCCACCAAGACTTACAACTGATCCTCTACCCCACCAAGACTTACAACTGATCCTCTACCCCACCAAGACTTACAACTGATCCTCTACCCCACCAAGACTTACAACTGATCCTCTACCCCACCAAGACTTACAACTGATCCTCTACCCCACCAAGACTTACAACTGATCCTCTACCCCACCAAGACTTACAACTGATCCTCTACCCCACCAAGACTTACAACTGATCCTCTACCCCACCAAGACTTACAACTGATCCTCTACCCCACCAAGACTTACAACTGATCCTCTACCCCACCAAGACTTACAACTGATCCTCTACCCCACCAAGACTTACAACTGATCCTCTACCCCACCAAGACTTACAACTGATCCTCTACCCCACCAAGACTTACAACTGATCCTCTACCCCACCAAGACTTACAACTGATCCTCTACCCCACCAAGACTTACAACTGATCCTCTACCCCACCAAGACTTACAACTGATCCTCTACCCCACCAAGACTTACAACTGATCCTCTACCCCACCAAGACTTACAACTGATCCTCTACCCCACCAAGACTTACAACTGATCCTCTACCCCACCAAGACTTACAACTGATCCTCTACCCCACCAAGACTTACAACTGATCCTCTACCCCACCAAGACTTACAACTGATCCTCTACCCCACCAAGACTTACAACTGATCCTCTACCCCACCAAGACTTACAACTGATCCTCTACCCCACCAAGACTTACAACTGATCCTCTACCCCACCAAGACTTACAACTGATCCTCTACCCCACCAAGACTTACAACTGATCCTCTACCCCACCAAGACTTACAACTGATCCTCTACCCCACCAAGACTTACAACTGATCCTCTACCCCACCAAGACTTACAACTGATCCTCTACCCCACCAAGACTTACAACTGATCCTCTACCCCACCAAGACTTACAACTGATCCTCTACCCCACCAAGACTTACAACTGATCCTCTACCCCACCAAGACTTACAACTGATCCTCTACCCCACCAAGACTTACAACTGATCCTCTACCCCACCAAGACTTACAACTGATCCTCTACCCCACCAAGACTTACAACTGATCCTCTACCCCACCAAGACTTACAAATGATCCTCTACCCCACTAAGACTAGCAAATGATCCTCTACCCCACCAAGACTTACAACTGATCCTCTACCCCACCAAGACTAACAACTGATCCTCTACCCCACCAAGACTAACAACTGATCCTCTACCCCACCAAGACTTACAACTGATCCTCTACCCCACCAAGACTTACAACTGATCCTCTACCCCACTAAGACTAGCAAATGATCCTCTACCCCACCAAGACTTACAATTGATCCTCTACCCTACCAAGACTTACAAATGATCCTCTTTACCACTTAGACTTACAAATGATCATTCACCATTTTAGCTTTAGAATGCATCACTGTCTCTCTAGAGTTAAGGCAACAGTAAAACTGAGGAAACTTTTCTGTAAATACTGACGGTTGGCTAAACAAGTGGTCGCCAGAAAGAGGTTAATGACTCCAGTCAATACTTACCAATGATGTTTTCTTGTTTTAATGCTAAATTTGACCATACATTCTAAACAAACTTCTCCTTCAGACCACGGCGGCTCCTTAGAGAGCATATCTGTTTTACAAAAATAGGAAACAAAGAAGAGGATTGTTATAAACAGCTGACAAGTTCTATTAATAGTATTAATGACAGTATGATCAAATATTGAAACTGGATCCACGGTCAAATTGTATTTATTAACACAGGACTAATCACAACAGTGCAGACTATATGTCATATATTCAAGTCAATCCTCTCCTTTGACTAGACAAGAAACCCATAAATATGAATACAGAAGTAATAATGTATACCGGGAAAATTTCACCACAGTTTATATTTTCGCCTTTTTTCACTCTCCCAAATGAAGGCGAAGCATGACAGCAAATATTAGTATGAAAACATGTTTGACTTGGCGAAAGTTTCACTGTATACAATAGTGCAGATACACACATCTCAGGATTCCTGTACAACACGTATAGTTTTTTAATTTCTAATTATGACTGTCTAACGTAGCTATTTATATTAAACTTTTACAGGTAGAATTTAAGGTGACATAGATACTTTTTACCAGATACATACAAAGGAACTTGACGAAGAGCATAGCCTATTAGTAAGTAGAGTTCTTATAACAGTATGGGTACACAGAATTCCTACATTTTATGTGAACTGTACTAGAATAATTCCTAGAAATATTAAAATTTAAAATGTCTGCATCTCAGATACAGCATGCTAGGATCCAAACTTACCTAGTAATTTAAAAAGTAGTTGTTTTGTTGCTACAGGAGCATTAAATATACTAAGTCCTTGTTTGTTCATAGTTCCTAGACGAGCGCCCGACCGTACGAGACTCCGGCACAAACTTCCGTTACCGTTGACATAGGCCAACAGTAGAGCTGCAACACAAAAGATGGATTACATATACATCGTAACTACAGAAGCATCAGCTATGAAATATGGACCTGAATTACACTAACACAGGTGACACCCTGTTTTGTCTCCTAGCACAGGCCTCGTGACACCCTGTTTTGCCACCTAACACAAGTCTAGTGACGCCCAGTTTTGCCCCCTAGCACAGGCCTCATGACACCCTGTTTTACCACCTAACACAAGTGAAGCAACACCCTGTTTTGCCCCTAACATGTGTAGTGACATGGGTACCTGTTTTGCCCCCTAACACAGGCCTGGTGACATCCTGTTTTGCCCCCTAACACAAGTGTAGCGACACCCTGTTTTGCCCCTAACAGATGTAGTGACATGAGTACCTGTTTTGCCCCCTAACACAAGTGTAGTGACATCCTGCTTTGCCCCCTAACACAGACCTAGTGACACCCTGTTTTGCCCCCTAACACAAGTGTAGTGACACCCTGTTTTGCCCCTAACACAGGTGTAGTGACACCCTGTTTTGCCCCCTAACACAGACCTAGTGACACCCTGTTTTGCCCCCGTACACAAGTGTAGTAACATCCTGTTTTGCCTCTGTACGCTACTGTAGTAACATCCCGTTTTGCCCCTGTACACAAGTGTAGTAACATCCTGTTTTGCCTCTGTACACAGGTGTAGTAACATCCTGTTTTGCCTCTGTACACTACTGTAGTAACATCCTGTTTTGCCCCTGTACACTACTGTAGTAACATCCTGTTTTGCCCCCGTACACAAGTGTAGTAACATCCTGTTTTGCCCCTGTACACAAGTGTAGTAACATCCTGTTTTGCCCCTGTACACAAGTGTAGTAACATCCTGTTTTGCCCCTGTACACAGGTGTAGTGACATCCTGTTTTGCCCCTGTACACTACTGTAGTAACATCCTGTTTTGCCCCCGTACACAAGTGTAGTAACATCCTGTTTTGCCCCTGTACACAAGTGTAGTAACATCCTGTTTTGCCCCTGTACACAAGTGTAGTAACATCCTGTTTTGCCCCTGTACACAAGTGTAGTAACATCCTGTTTTGCCCCTGTACACAGGTGTAGTGACATCCTGTTTTGCCCCTGTACACAAGTGTAGTAACATCCTGTTTTGCCCCTGTACACAAGTGTAGTAACATCCTGTTTTGCCCCTGTACACAAGTGTAGTAACATCCTGTTTTGCCCCTGTACACAAGTGTAGTAACATCCTGTTTTGCCCCTGTACACAAGTGTAGTAACATCCTGTTTTGCCCCTGTACACAAGTGTAGTAACATCCTGTTTTGCCCCTGTACACAAGTGTAGTAACATCCTGTTTTGCCCCTGTACACAAGTGTAGTAACATCCTGTTTTGCCCCTGTACACAAGTGTAGTAACATCCTGTTTTGCCCCTGTACACAAGTGTAGTAACATCCTGTTTTGCCCCTGTACACAGGTGTAGTGACATCCTGTTTTGCCCCTGTACACTACTGTAGTAACATCCTGTTTTGCCCCCGTATATAAGTGTAGTAACAGGTAGTAATGCCAGAGACATGTACCTGTATTCCCCATAACATAGTTGGTTATACTTGAGACATGTAAATGTTACATTCTCCGTAATCCCTATATACTGTACCTGTATTTCCCTCTGCGTCTTGTCGGTCTATAGGGTAATCAGGCATGCTTTCTTTGAAGAGTTCAAACACCGCTGAAGCTGTATCACGTCCATACTGTGCCAGCACATGGATCGCCATCTGACCCCTGTCAAACAATGTACAAATTATATAGACAAGTAGCTGTAATACTTGGTTTATGTCTTAAAATTATGGAAATTGTAAAAGTCAGACAGGAGGTGGTGAGCAAAACATTATACAGGATGATATAAACATTCACAGCAGGTTACTATAACTCACAAACAACAGGATGGTATAAACATTCACAGCAGGTTACTATAACTCACAAACAACAGGATGGTATAAACATTCACAGCAGGTTACTATAACTCACAAACAACAGGATGGTATAAACATTCACAGCAGGTTACTATAACTCACAAACAACAGGATGGTATAAACATTCACAGCAGGTTACTATAACTCACAAACAACAGGATGGTATAAACATTCACAGCAGGTTACTATAACTCACAAACAACAGGATGGTATAAACATTCACAGCAGGTTACTATAACTCACAAACAACAGGATGGTATAAACATTCACAGCAGGTTACTATAACTCACAAACAACAGGATGGTATAAACATTCACAGCAGGTTACTATAACTCACAAACAACAGGATGGTATAAACATTCACAGCAGGTTACTATAACTCACAAACAACAGGATGGTATAAACATTCACAGCAGGTTACTATAACTCACAAACAACAGGATGGTATAAACATTCACAGCAGGTTACTATAACTCACAAACAACAGGATGGTATAAACATTCACAGCAGGTTACTATAACTCACAAACAACAGGATGGTATAAACATTCACAGCAGGTTACTATAACTCACAAACAACAGGATGGTATAAACATTCACAGCAGGTTACTATAACTCACAAACAACAGGATGGTATAAACATTCACAGCAGGTTACTATAACTCACAAACAACAGGATGGTATAAACATTCACAGCAGGTTACTATAACTCACAAACAACAGGATGGTATAAACATTCACAGCAGGTTACTATAACTCACAAACAACAGGATGGTATAAACATTCACAGCAGGTTACTATAACTCACAAACAACAGGATGGTATAAACATTCACAGCAGGTTACTATAACTCACAAACAACAGGATGGTATAAACATTCACAGCAGGTTACTATAACTCACAAACAACAGGATGGTATAAACATTCACAGCAGGTTACTAAAACTCACAAACAACTGTATCATCTTCCTTCTCTCTTTTAATGTTTGTGTTGATTTGTCATTATTACACAAATAATTATTGAAAACTATTTCAGCTGACTAAATATAATATTACCAGATCAACCTTACTACAATCTCTAATTTTTCTAAACTTTCGTACAAGATATAGGTCTATATTAAGTGATTTACTCTGTCCTTACTTAGCATTCACTGCCTCAGCGTTGACCCGCGACTCGGTCAGTAGAATCCTGACAGTGTTGAGATTTCCATGTTGTACGGCTACGTGTAAGGCTACAAGGTAAACAGTGACAGATTACTACTGGGACAATTATTCATCTCTCTGCCAATTCCTGTTTCTACTCTGTGAAATAAGACCTTGCTAGCTATTTAAAACATCATGGAGATTTATGAACCAAATATAGCTAAAAGGGAAACCTGTCTAGAATAAACCCTGTGTAATCTGGAAACCTTCCGTGCAACGTCCGTGCAAAGAGTTAAGCGAAGTTCCGTGTTACCCAGCAGACAGATTCCACAAAGAAAACATGAGTCCGGCCGTAAATAGTAGAGTTATCAATAGGTGTATTGAAATTTGTTCTGATGACGACACACCTCATGTGTCGAAACTAGTCAACGTTAACTTGGATTAAAGCCGTTATACCCAGCACGACGTTGTCATGGTCATCTTTACCTAATGATCTATCCGATGGTGTTAAATGTCATGTCAACCTTGGAAAAGTCTTGGTATGGCTCACCTCGATTTTGTCAGATTGATGAATTTAGACAGGTATTGATGTATTTGAATGTTGATCTTTTGTCTCACAGTGAGTCCCTACAGGTCAACTATTAACCCATTACACACACTTCACAGACTCAACCATGTCATCAATGTTTCTTACAGGAACAGTACCTCAGAACTAATGATTACTTCATGTTCATCTCATTCACATTTTCAAATCCCATTACTCATCTGAGTAAACCATAGGTTGTGTCATTTAAAAATAAGAAAATATTATGTTGGTGAATCTTTTCATAAGCAAAAAAAAGTTACAAAGCATTTTATTAGAAGTTAGCTATCTGACGAATAGAAATGATCAATTCCTTACCATTGTTGAGATTTTCGTCGACCACATCGTAATCAATACCGTTCTCCAGAAGAATGCTGGCAATGACAGAGTGATCCTTTAAAGCTGCTAGATGTAACGATGTCTCATTCTTTTTGGTCTTGGCATTGACATCTGCCCCCGCTAGTAACTGTGTAAACAATGTATCACCATTCACATGTACATATATTATAATGAGCAGTTTTATACTGTTGTAATATTGTAGCTGAGGTTATATCTACTGCATATAGGGTTATATTTATAGTAAACAGGGTTGTATCTATTGTATACAAGTTTATATCTACTGTATAGTTATATCTCCTGTATACAAGGTAATCTCTATACCATATGGGGGTATATTTATAGTAAACAGGGTTATATCTTTTGTATACAAGTTTATATCTACTGTATAGGTTATATCTCCTGTATACAAGGTAATCTCTATACCATATGGGGGTATATTTATTGTAAACAGGAATTTATATACTGTATACAGAGTCATGTGTAATGTTTACAGGAATAAATCAAAAAAATATGTATATAATGTTACCATGGTCACACATACTGTAAACATGGTTATATATACTGAAGACAGTTATATTTACTGCATACAGATTTATATATATTCTGTATACAGGGTTACACTTTCTGTATACATGGTTACACTTTCTGTATACAGGGTTACACTTTCTGTATACATGGTTACATTTTCTGTATACATGGTTACACTTTCTGTATACAGGGTTACACTTTCTGTATACAGGGTTACACTTTCTGTATACATGGTTACACTTTCTATATACAGGGTTACACTTACTGTATACAGGGTTACACTTTCTGTATACATGGTTACACTTTCTGTATACAGGGTTACACTTTCTGTTAACAGGGTTATATTTTACTGAAAAATGGATTACATCTACTGTATACAGGTTTATATCTACTGTATACAGGGTTATATCTACTGTATACAGGTTTATATCTACTGTATACAGGGTTATATATTCTGTATACAGGGTTATATATTCTGTATACAGGGTCACACTTTCTGGTTACAGGGTTATATTTTACTGAATAATGGATTACATCAATAGTATACAGGGTTATAAGTCTCATAAGTAATACAATATGGGCACTGGATTGGGACAAACAAATGTTCATTGGATACATATTACTTACATAGATATACAATGGTTAAAGGGGCTGGTCGGGGAAAAAATTTCATATTTGCTAAAATGGCATACACATGTTTAAAATACCTTCTTATGAAATATACCGATTCAAATTTTGCTGAAATTCACTCCATAAGAGTAAAAATTATAATGATATTAAAGAAATCCTAAATCCTCACCTGACAGTCTAAAACTCTCAATTGACCCAGATCAGTGATGTAATTTTACCGAACGCGCGTCATGAACAAGGCCATATGTAAACATCGCGGCAAAAGAAAAAGATGCATGCAAAAGTCATGAGAGGCACGAGGTATCAATACCGTTATATATAACAACACCATATAGGTAGGAATACTACACTTGCATCATACATGACCTTTGAAAACAATTATTTACGCATAGTATTGCTGTCTTGTCTGCTAGTTGAGTCCGACATGGCACATGACGGCGTGCTATTGTTGTTATCTTCACTGCCTCACTTTCAAAACAACCACGTGACATATATAAAAAGATATGCACTCAATTTACGCGGGGCTTCCCTGAGATTTCAGTGGTCAAAACTGGACATTGCGAGCAGAACTTGACCGTCATATTGCTGTGGTATAACTTTTGGAAGGCCAGAGAACACATTTAGACCCATTTATTTTGTATTTTTTTCCCCGACCAGCCCCTTTAAGCAAAGAAGTAATAACGACAGTGCAGACAAAGGAATTTGTCAGGGCAATCAGCCCCTCTTACTATATATACAGGGTTATATATAGAACAAAACGCTGACCAATGTGCATACCAGATTTCTGACGATGATTTCGGAGCCTGCCGTGACTGCGAGGTGTAGTGGGGTGAGCTGCTGAGAGTCCTGGACACGAGAGTTCACATTGGCATGGACACTGATTAGAAACAGTACGCTCTCAATGTCCGACTTCTGTATGGCAGTGTGGAGGAAGTTCCTACCCCGGTTGTCCACCTATCAAACATCAAACATACAGGGTTCTAATCTGTCCTTTTCCTGTCAAATAATATAATTGTAACAATTTACAATTTGTCTACCACCTCCAAAACAACAAACAGAATTAAAAATCTGTCCTTAACCTACAAAACAGGTTATACAGAATAGGTGATGCTGGTGCGAGATGAACAAGGGCCCTGACCTGCTCAGCAGCAGTCGATTCCCTGTTCAGTATGGCCTGAGCAGCTTTGTTGTTCTTGGTCGTCATAGCAGCAGCGAAGGGAGTGAAACCTTGTTTGTCGCGGACGGTCAGATCCAGACTTGGGTGGGACAGTAAAAGGGATATAATCACAGGGTGTTGGTTCTCTATGGCAATGTGGATAGGGGTCTTTCCTTCTGTATCCTGGATGAATGAAAATGATTAACGTTAGGCACATGGAGTATATATTTTTTAGTACAAAAGTAAGACCGAGTTATTTATCAAAAAAGGGTGTTTAGCCAAATGAATTTTAAAAGTGAGACAATGAATGGTGACCTGTGCCATACCTGAGCGTTGACATCTGCAGAGTGTTCCATGAGGCACTGTACAACGATTTCCAGACCCCATGTACAGGCCATGTGTAGGGGCGTCTGCTGATCTCTGTAACACACAATAACCATGGTTACAACAACTAAGATGGTTTACACATGACAATTATCATGTTTCACACATTATCAAAGAAAAACAAACAGATTTACCTGGGTAGGATATTTTTCTCCATATTATATTATCCCTCCACAATAATATAAGCAGGACTGCACAAAGCATATAAACTAGACAAAGTATTGGTCATCTATAAATCATGTCTGTTACATGTGTATAATTTTTGCACCTGACATCCAAGTTTTGATAAATAAAATCTCCTTAATGTAGTAGGCTTATGAATTTTAACTTTGAGATAAAAGCTGAAATCTTAACACGTAACAACGTGTCACTTGTATCTTACTTAGCCTCGTCCTCCCCTTCACCATTTGGTCCTGGTCGACGTGTTGCATTCTTGTCACAGCCACTGAAAATGACAACTTCTTGTTATTTATTTGCTTTTTTTCCAAAAAAGAGGAAAACAGTTTTCTGATTAACATATCTGCGTTCAGTAGTGACCAAATACCCCTAAGACACATCAGTTTATTAACCTACCCGGGTATGTGATCCAGGATCGACACATTAGTTGGCCACTGATCCAGGTTGACAGCAGACATGTAAGTTCGTGTTTAATCACGATCATGTGCCAATGTTTGGGGGCACTACAGTATTTTGATGGTGATAAGCTCAGGGGGCCTGTGAATGAAAACATGCCAAAAGTAGGGGGGGGGGTATCATCGGTTATGAGCCTGTAGTTTACCGGCCCAGACTGGACATCGTGGTCCATCATTTTGGTTCCAGATATCACAGCTTAACAAATTAGAACTGGTAGTAGATTGTTTTATAAAGACAAGGATCTGAGTGACAGGGCTCATGGTGATTAAGAAAAATATTTACTGATCAAAGTATAAAAAGCATCTTCTGGAGAGTACTTTGCACAATAGTTTTGATATAATTTCTTTTCATAATGACTCACATGATACACTGACTACAAGTACGTATGTTGCTACAAAGTACTGTATAAGGTGACAATGTCATCTACCATTAAAGATTTGAGGACGAGTACAAAGTACTGTATAAGGTGTCAATGTCCCCTGCCATTAACATTTTGAGGACGAGTACAAAGCACTGTATAAGGTGTCAATGTCCTCTGCCATTAAAGTTTTGAGGACGACTACAAAGTACTGTATAAGGTGTCAATGTCCCCTGCCATTAACATTTTGAGGACGAGGACAAAGCACTGTATAATGTGTCAATGTCCTCTGCCATTAAAGTTTTGAGGACGACTACAAAGTACTGTATAAGGTGTCAATGTCCTCTGCCATTGAAGTTTTGAGGACGAGTACAAAGTACTGTATAAGTGGCCAATGTCCTCTGCCATTAAAGTTTTGAGCACGAGTACAAAGTACTGTATAAGGTGTCAATGCCCCCTGCCATTAAAGTTTTGAGGACGAGTACAAATTACTGTATAAGGTGACAATGTCCTCTACCATTAAAGTTTTGAGGACGAGTACAAAGTACTATATAAGGTGTCAATGTCCCCTGCCATTAAAGTTTTGAGGACGAGTACAAAGTACTGTATAAGGTGTCAATGTCCTCTGCCATTGAAGTTTTGAGGACGAGTACAAAGTACAATTCAGCAGTTGGTGTTTATAAAATATGAAACAATTCCTGATTAAACATATCTTCAGCAGATTAAAAATGTCCATTAACTCCTAAAAAACTGATGAATCTAGCAGTAATTTCTACCATGCCATCTTCATGTCATCATAAAAACTGTGTGCTTTCAAATGTGATGTGTTAAAAAAGTTTAGCTGGTTTTCTATATAATGCAACTTTAAGCCATATCATTTTGGTATTTTGAAACAAGGCAGGAGCTTCACTTAAACATAATGTGAGTCTTTATGATAATTATAGCAGACATGTGTGTCTGTGTGATGATAACAGAAAATATTCCCTACCTTGAGGTTATGACTCAACCCTAACAGCCAGACAAGATTGTGTTGATGACCAATCTCTATAAGTGTAAATTTATAAACTTTAAGCAAAAACAAATTTCAAATTAGTTGGAAAAATGAGACCTTTATATACAGTGCTATGATAGTGCTCTGTACCTTTTGATGAGAAAGCAGGCGACCGCTTCATTGTTCTCATCAACGGCTCGGTGAAGTAGTGTCTGCTCACAACTACTTGGGCCCTCGGACCACAGGTCAAGGTCACAACCATGCTTGACCTGAAGTTCAAACAAATATCTTTGATGGTTAAGCATTTTTTTTTATAAAATAGACAAACAGTGGGAACTATACGATAGTTCATTCACACAATCACTATAGGACAAGTAACAGGAATAAAATTTAATTTTGAAGGCAGCATGTTTTGAGATACATATATTACAAAGCTTGTGGGACTTTTATTCTGGGTCAATACAAAATGATAATATGAATCAATGTAATAATAATAACAACAATAATTTCAGGTTAAGATATACTGCTTTATCACAACCGAGGTCATCTTAAAGCGGTTCACAGACTATTATCCATGGTTATTGGACCTTTGCAACCAGCCAAAAATCTTCCTCAACTCCCTGGGGAGCATACAGCCAGTGCTGCCATCACGGTGCTCACAGCTAGCAATCAACAATATTCTACCACTGCCCAACCATGTACTCATTTACTGCTGTGTAGACTGAAACAAGCGGAGCGAAGTATCTTGTTCAAGGATGCAACACTGTGCCATGACATGATTTGAACCTGTCACCCTTTTGTCATGAGCCCGGCATCCTACCACTAGACTACTGTGCCTCTGTGAAGGGGTTTACTAAAATCAGCCAGTTAGAATTATCCTAGCTAGAGCATCATGTGCAGGATAAAAACAGTGCTTAATCTTAACATTTCTCCATCCAAGGATTGCTTAGGGATATAAACAGGTTTTATCCTTAGTTTGGAAATCACACAAATTTTACCATAATACATTCAGTAGTCATCGTACCAGTATTTGTGCAATGTCTTCTTGACCAGTGTCCAGAGCTTGCCAAAGTGGACATGACTTTTCATGGTCAAGTAAGTTCATATTCACACCCCTTTTGCACAGCATGTCGACAACGACTGGTAGGTGGCGCTGTATGGCATGTTGTAGCGGAGTCTCAAGTGAATTGGTTCTGGTAGACAACAAAAACAGACATTATTTTATTACAATGGTATGAAACAGTTATTGAAAATATATAATTATATAAAAAAACTTTCAAAACAAATGTTCTCTTCAAAACTTTTCCAGGATTAAATCAAGAAAATAGCATAAAAAGTGTTCAAGTCAATCTGAGTGGAGATCATATTTAGTATCGGTGTACAGACCAACACAAAAACATGTCGCACATAAAATCAATTATGTCACCATCTCTATCTTCATCTCATACATTCAGATACTTGCATCAATATTTATATATTTAACACATGAGATGGAAATTATTCACTTATGTCACAGACAAGGCATTTGTGTCTATATATAAATATTCAACATTCACAGGGATGCAGTCAGCATCCAGATATTTATGCTTTGTGTCAGAGTAATATTAGAGTTAACAACTGTGTTATGCCATCACCTGTAACACCATCACATCACAGTAGGTTACCAATTTCCTTTTAAAAGCATGACAGTATAAACGCTATTGTTCTGAGATATAGATGGCTGTCACCCTCTGAATGACATTGGCTTTCAGAACTCAAGTTCGTACATTGACAAAGGGACCAGTCGGTCTTGAAACCTTGTGACACGTTTGATACGTACATTGGTTGTGTATAAATCAAAACTTTCATATATAATTTCTTCAAGTAAATCTGACCTGAATTGACCTGAACTTCAGGTTACTTGAAAACATTTTCAGGTCAATTTCATGTCAAACTGACCTGAAAAAAATTCAAGTGAATTCAGGTGAAATTTTCATGTCAATTTTAGGTCAAATTCAGGTAAACGTTTCACCTAAAATTGACTTTGTTCTTTACAGGTAAAATCAAAATTTTGCTTGTGTATATCCTATAAGGTTAACACTGATAAGTAAAGTATATAAGAACACTACTACAGGTATAAAGATAAGTAGTAATATAGAAAATATATTAAACTATAATATAACTTGTCTATTATGTCTACAAAGATAAGTATGACACTAAAGACACTATGGTTTGTAAAACACTACTACAGGTACAAGGATGAGTAGTTAAATATAACTATTATCTATTAAGTTTACAATGATACCACCAGGTATGGTATATTCCACTGCCAGAGGGTATGGCACGGGGATGAGTAACAATAGAACTATTTATAGTTACAGACGTGCTATATTAAATAATTAAAGAAATAATTAAAAATTACTTTATAATAGAACGTTTTCAAGTAAATAACACATGCACTATAACTTTACCGACATCTTAGATTCCTCAAATAACAAATGATTTGGATGGAAGACAGTCAGTACCAGGATATTAATATGCCTTTGGGATGGAGTAGCAGTTGGTTTGGATAACAAAAGAATAGTTAACAGGGTGGGGGAACATTAATACCATTTAGGTATAAGATCGTAATGGGAGAACTATAAATTTAAAAAAAAAACAAAAAAAAAACCAGGGGCTCAAAATTTAAAATGCATCAAAAATCATTGTGCTAAAAAAAAACAGAAAAAAACAGCACTTTGAAATTCCCATGCAGGTAGAAAATGTGGAGTGCTTCACATCTGGTTTTATTGAGAAATTGGTCAAATTATCAAAAGAAAAATTAATTATTAATGTGAAGGTCAAATAGATAATGCAACAATTGACAAAGAAAAATGAATTATAAAGAAAAAACAAAAAGAATTACAGGTCTACATCAGTTATAACTTCGATTGATATTTCAAATAAAATCTATATACACTAGCTTCATCTCTGATTGAATTATATAGCACCTAGCATGACATTGCTGCTGTATAAAATGCAAAATATAAAACCTCTCATAAATTATTACTCATCAAGATCAGTTTGTAACACTTTTGATCTCCTCTCACTCATTAAGTCATCCGAGGAAAAACCACATTTGAAAGCCCTCCACACTAAACCACTAAATATCAAACATCATTACTTCACTGAGCTCATATGCAGAAGGAGTAATTTAAAGTTTTCCACACATTTGACCCCTGTGGCCTTGAAAATACATTTTGTAGATCTAGATCATGGACATTTCTTTTAACACATGTGATACCCTTACAGTATTTGAGAGACTTTTTAAAGTTTCTTGTGGTTTTCTAGGTAGACTGACTGAGTAAAATATGGTGGGAATTGTGAACATTGATTGGACGTCTCATTCACACTGTCAAAAAAAACACAGAGGTTAAATGGGACAGCCAATTTGGGTGGGAGGAGTATGTTAGGGGTTATTCTATTTCATCTTCTAGGGGGCTCAGGTTCTTTCACCAAAAATATACCAAATATTAATTGTTCTATAATTGTATATTATCACAATGCTATATATAATCCTTATACCAGTGGTATGTATCACTATTGATGACCAGAACTGCTATTGTTAGGAATTATACAAAAATAGTCAGAAAGTAAAACTTAGTGTGGTATTAGGCAGGATTATATCTGTACCAAGAACATGCTGTTAGAGAGTTACCCAAAGAAATCTTCAACATATCTGCAAAAAGACACAGCAGTCAATAAAAAAAACGTTATTGTGTTAGGCTGAAAAAATATGTTATAAAGCTGAAAACTGACGATGCAAATTAAAAACTGGAAAATGTTTTATGAAACCTACATATGCCCTCTTTCCCACTTTGATAGAAATGTTGCTCAAGGCAAAGTTTAACATAAATCATTTAAGTGAAAAATATAGATCACAGTGACCTACATATGATATACTGATGTAGTACTCCTCTAGGTAGACCTACATCAATATGGAGTTTGTTGACTGTTTGACTTCTAGTACGTGTACTAGGGTGAGGGTACTCAAAATGGAACGGTACCAAAACTAACTGCAACACTTTTCAACATATATGATGCAGCATTTTTCATTTTGCAGTAAATATGAATGGTGTGTCTTCTCAATCAAGACTTATATAGTTTAATGCATTTTGAGCAAATTGCATCTGCCTAACTCTAAAACATTGATCATAAACTCAATTGAAACGAATAAAATGAAAAAAAACATAAATTTCTTTTCATATTTCTAAACATGGAAAACTATATGTTTAAACAACAAATATTTTAGGAAAGAAATGACTAAAATTTGTCATAAATTGTCAAAACTTGTTTGAATTGAAGACAATTATAACAAATGCTGTCAGTTATTTTTATAAGCTGACTAATATGATAAAGTGTTCCATTTTGGGTACTCGACCGGCTTAAAATTAAAAGTGAATCTGACTCACTTTAATGAGCTCTATAAATAGACACACACTCTGTTGATACCCAAGAAATACATTAAATGAAGACTAAAGACATGTACTGTTTCAGAAACTTTATAGGAAATATTTATATTTTTTCTTTTCAAAGTGTTCCATTTTGGGTAACCTCACACTAGATTACTGGAGCCAAATTTAAAGTCCAAACAAGATTGTATTTAAATGACAGACAGATCTAGATAGACCCACAAAAAGGGAAAGCACTTTATTCCTCCTCAATTAATTTTACAGGGGCATCAAAGTCATCCTAAGAAATTTATCATCTTTAATGAATTTTCAATGGTTAAGGTTAAGAATATATCTACAAGAGTGAAACCAAATCATGGATATGAGATCTCAGAAAGGCTTTTACAACACAAAAGCATCAAAATTAAAAAAATATATATATCCACACAAAATATATCCATAATACTAATTGGATTTGAATGTGGATCATAGGAATCCAAATTCGTATCATTGTATTAAAATTAAAATTCAGACAATTTCACAATCACCATTTTGTTCAAAAAACGAATTTAATCATTTGTTGTACATGTATTTTCCCCCATTTCACTAAAACCTTCTAACCGCACCATTCAATTTCAAACTAGTATTTGATGGTTGTCCAAGTTTCTCAAATAGGTACCTAACCTATCACTGTCTCCACCTCATAAAACTACTGTTTAATCACCGACCATAACACCCATACAAATACAATGACACAACAACATAAGAGTATCTACAATTACAAACACACGGTGACACTCTGTCTCTAATATCCAATGTACTCAACACATGCTAAACAAACAAAAATAAGGAAATTTGTGATAACAAAATATAAGGTAAAACCTACAAACCATAATCAACATAAAATCATGATGTCCACAGACTATCTGTGTGACAATCTCTACTGACATTAATGTTTCCCTGTCTGATTATTACCCCTCATTATCATTTTTCACTGTCTGATTACTTCCCCTGACTATCATGTTTCCCTGTCTGAGTACTTCCCCAGAATATCATGTTTCCCTGTCTGATTATTCCGCCTCATTATCATGTGTTCCTGTCTGATTACTTCCCCTGAATATCATGTTTCCCTGTCTGATTATTCCCCCTCATTAACATGTTTTCCTGTCTGATTACTTCCCCTGAATATCATGTTTCCCTGTCTGATTATTACCCATCATTAACATGTTTTCCTGTCTGATTACTTCCCCTGACTACCATGTTTTCCTGTCTGATTACTTCCCCTGAATATCATGTTTCCCTGTCTGATTATTTCCCCTCATTAACATGTTTTCCTGTCTGATTACTTCCCCTGAATATCATGTTTCCCTGTCTGATTATTTCCCCTCATTAACATGTTTTCCTGTCTGATTACTTCCCCTGACTATCATGTTTCCCTGTCTGATTACTTCCCCTGACTATCATGTTTTCCTGTCTGATTCCTTCCCCTGACTATCATGTTTTCCTGTCTGATTACTTCCCCTGACTATCATGTTTTCCTATCAGATTACTTCCCCTGACTATTATGTTTCCCTGTCTGATTATTAACACTGACTATCTTGTCTCCCTCTCAGATTATCTCCCCTGACTATCTTGTCTCCCTCTCAGATTATCTTCCCTGACTACCTTGTCTCCCTCTCTAATTATCTCCCCTGACTACTGTGTATCCCTCTCTAATTATCTCCCCTGACTATCATGTCACCCTCTCTGATTATCTCCCCTGACTATCATGTCTCACTCTCTGATTATCTCCCCTGACTATCATGTTTCCCTGATTACCTCCCTTAGCAATCATTTCCCCCAGATTGGTGACCTCTCCTAAATGTTTAAATACCTGTCTATGATATGTATATAATGTTTAGTGTATTTACTTCATGTTGAGGTCTGCCTGGTGCTCTATGAGAAACATGGCACTGGTGGTATCCTGTTTCTCGATAGCCTGGTGGAGAAGTGAGAATCCATCAGCATTTTTCTCATTGATGTTAGCACCCGCACCGAGGAGTCGGTCAGCCTCGGAGTGGAGTCCACTCCAGAGGGCAAGCCCTAGTACTGTCTGACCATCAGAGTCCTTCAGATTAAAGTTCGGAAGAATAAGGACATTGTCCTCACTGTGGGCAGCCTCCACTGTGAATACAATTATCTTATTTATGTTGAGATGTCAATATGATTAACATCAGCTAAAAAGCATTCTTTGTTTAGTAATATCTTCAGTAGTAACAAAAATGTTTTTATACAATGTATATCACCCAGCTCGCAACATCACCAACATTACTTTCTAGTACAGATTTTATGTGTGCTTCACGTGGCAATTTTGTTCTGACATTAAATAAAAATTCTCTGTTATAATGTTGATTTTCACTTTACATACAGATATATGCTGATAACTAACTCTTTCTCTAAAAGGCAAACCAATCATACTTACAATATGTTCATATACACGCAGGTAAAATCCACCTTTGGATATGGAACCAAATATTAAAACAAATCTCATTTTCACCTGTTGACTAATTAAGCAGACTTTTACATGTTGTGATTTCTCTTACCTTTATGTTGTAAGAAGATCTCCACAATTTCACTGTACTTGTTGACCAGGGCGAGGTGAAGCGGAGTTTGTAAAGTTGCAGGCGCCTCGTCCTGGCCTAGCATCAGATCACTCATTGTCGACTTTCTTGTCTGTCCATTAGGGTTACCTCCCTTGCTAAGTAACACCTGCACAAGGTTAGACAGACCCTTCTGACAAGCTAAATGTAGGGGGTTTTCACCCTGAAATAGCAAAAAAGGTATGTCAATTCTGATTTTGGAATAATAAAGATATAAAAATGTGGATTAAATATGTTAAGATATTATCTGCTGGATAACCGAACTATTTGATACTGAAGCGGACGTAAAACCACTCAAACAAACATTCAAAATGTTAAAGATATATACAAGAAGAAGCAAAATTAGCCTGAATTGCTCAGCTGTTCCTTTTATTATCAGAATCTCAGGCCTCACAGTAGCTATACTCATCCTTTCATAGGTCCCAAGTATCAAGATGCATCACTGCAAGTTTGGTAGTGATCCTTATGTATTTATTGGGCTGTGAACATTCTGAATCATTTTCACATTATGACCTAACCCTTCCATTTCCACAAAGATGAGCTCCTTTGCCCCAACATTAAATTTCCTTGGCCAACAATGCTCGAGACCAAAATTTAAGAAAGGTTTGTTCAGCCGCTTTGGACTGATAGTGTTTTAAATGAAAAGTTGACAATGGAGGAATGCCGCACCATAGCACAAGTTCTCTTGCATTTCAGACTGTTGGACTATTTTATAGTCACTGGGCAATATTGTTTGCTCCAATTTTTTTTATAGCAGTTATCATATATAATAGTCAGGAGTTTTATGCTTCTTCTGTGCCTATGATCTGTTTAAAATCCAATTTATGTCATTTTTTCTATACTTTTCTGCAAAAGTGAAAATGTTGCTCGTACATGTAGGACTTATAGATTGTTGTATGGTGTTATCTAAGAGTCTGATACAAGCATTTATTTACAATATCGGCATAAAAAAAACATTTACATAATTACGTTGGATGTCATAACTTCTACAGCTAAGAATGATATGGTTATGATAACTTTAATATATCCTATCACCTTACCTTACTATTAGAGAGATTCACTTTGGCTCCATGAGAGGCGAGGAATATGCCCGCCCTCTCGTTACCTGATCTGGTGGCAAGATGTAGGATGGTGTCACCTGGAATACGTTATTGACAATACTTGTTAGGACACACTAGTTCAGTCAGCTGTTTTACAAGTCATAGGTAAAAAGAATATAGGTGTATTTGAACAGACATCTCTTACGACAATCAGTGTAAAATTTAAAGGAGTATGAACAAATTTGGACTCATGTCATGTTCACCAAGTTTTATCCCCTATATAGTGTCGGAGTAATAGTGTTAAAAAAACGTTTACACACTGACTGACTGACTGATGAACACTTGACCACAGACACAAAGTCATTTTATCAATCCACCATCTCATGATAATGAATCATATACTAAAAGTTATATTGGCTATAAAGCTCAGAGAAATGTATAGTACAGCTGATTTCCTATGACCTCTGTGACCTACCTGTCTCTGGTTCGACAGCGTCAGGTGAACTACCCTTGGCGAGGAGTTGAGCAGCAAAACTCTGTGGCCCATACACTGTCTGTACGTCACCCTCCTTGTCTTCTCCCTGTAGGTCAAGGACAACAATTCTTAGATCACGACCAATGGTTCAAATAGTGTAACTTTGAACAATTGATTTTAACAGCATAGAAATCATTTTTATTTTTTTATTTTTAAGACAATATATATAATTATATAAGAATATATTGTTATATACAGAAGATATAATTTCATTCTATAATATAAGTATATCGTTTTGTTTTTTATTATTCAGTATTAACTGATATACAGTTGTACCTACACACATTATAACACAAAATTTTCCTTCAAACGTAATTTATATTTTTTCAAACTTGTATTGATAAATTTTCCATTACATTTGTACCGTGTAAACAGTTTCAAATTTCTTTCACAAAACTCATTTCTAAGATTTAGAGTGAGTAAATTCCAGGAAGACAGTGACCTAATGCCATAATGTTATCTAATCTAGTGACTATATTGTCACTGGCCACACAGACCTGCTGTAGTGCAAGCCACAATGCAGTGTGGCCATCAGAGGTCTTCAGTTCAAAATGGATCTTGCCACTGTCCAGAAGAGTTTGAAAAACTGCCACATTTTTACTGAACACTGCAGCATGGAGGGCAGTGCTGGAAAAAAGGGGAAAATCTTTATTAGCTAATTTTAGAGCTGTGTGAACATACACTGCGACATACTTATACAATGTGAATGTAATACACATTGATTCTTAGACAAAATACAAAAGTGCATAATGGGTTTTATTGGAGATGTATTACAATATGTAATACAGCGTAACAGACATCTTCAATACTGCAGGTGTTACATTCTCTGCACCCCTGGAATGTAACATAGGAAGACTGAAAGCACATGGTTAACTTCTTGATTGGTCTCAGGTCAAAAAACTTGACCAATCGCTAGGCTGATTCCCACCATTCGAAGATCATAGAAGAGCGACATGCAACTTCAAAGCTGGTCAGTTTTTACATAATCTTCTTGTCTCATCAACAAGGTGCCGCCCACTGAGCGTTTGATTTTACCATGACATATTCCAGGGGTGCAGAGAGCATAAATGAGCATAAGTGAGCATAACCCCTAGATTATTTAGGATGTATAACAGGCAGAATTGGTGATACATTACAATATTTAATACAGTATATTGAACTGGTCATGTGCTACTTTTATTTTGTGAGCAATGAAGCATTATTTACACATTGTTGATATTGATGTTATCGTAACAGGTCAGGAATGATTTCGGAAAAAACATGTTTATACTAAAACACAAGTACATTGGTCATCGATTGACTTAATGGGTGGGTTATCACAACTAACACTGGTCATATCGTCATTATACACCAAAATCAGATATATCGAAACGTTCTGTAATCTAACGATAAACAGACATATACTGCAAAACAGTGCAAAAATAAACCACTAGGTGTATTACATGTTATAAAGTATATCACTTGGGAAAGTTTACAAAAATTGATCATGAAAATGGAAAACATATAATTGAAACTATTTGTGTGACCTACTGACCTCCCAGAGGTATCCTGGTGGTTCGGGTCAGCGTTATGCTCCAGCAGCTGTTTAGCGATGCATGCCATGCCAGTTATTACATCAGGGCTGGTCACATCAGGGTTAAAGGTCGCTACCATATGGAGGGGTGACTCTCGGTCGAGGTGAGTTGTCATAGTCACATCAGCTCCATTACGTATAAGGAACTCTGCAGAAAACTCATCACCTGCGAACAAATTGTCAAATTAATCAAAATTCATGAAAACTAAAGCAAGGTAATTCATTTTAATGTCTCTTTATATTGTTGTTATATCTGTATACACCAGTACACCTGTATGTAACAGAGGTCATTATTTGTCAATGCCACAGCTAGGAGTTGACTCGGGATCTCAGGTTTACTCGTCTTACACTCTACCAAATGAGCTAAAGAGAAATTATCCCTAGCTGAGTCTGTAGGAAGTGGAGATTATTTTACCATGGTGACATGACAGAACATCTATATACAATAAGTACATCTTAAGTTAACTGGTCACCTCTCTTGATAGCCTTGTGTAGGAGACATTTGCCGGTGTTGTCCCGTCGATTCACATCTACACGGTGTTTCATTAGTGTCTCTGCTATACTTGTCTGTCTAGACTGTAGGGCCAGATCCATGGGCAGGTCACCCTTATCATCAACATCATTTAATTTGACAGATAACTGAAATTAGTTTTAAACATAGTATCTGGAATTAAATTATATGCAATGTTGATGTTAATTTGTATAAGTATTAACAAATTTCCGTATGTTTGATAAGAACAATACAGAATAAATATGACTCCTTTTATGCAATTTGATAGGTTACATTGATTTAATAAACATTTACTTGTATCAGCTATTAACATGTACAGTTGCATTATTTCATTTCATTCATCTGATGTGTTTGCCTGTACCTGAGAATCGTACTCTATGAGGTATAAAAACAAGGCATCCTCGCGTTTGGCACGTATTGTGGCATGCAGGGGGTATTCAGTTTTGGCTTTGAACATCTGGTACAGCAGCGGGGCTGGCATATGGACGAAGTCCTCACTTGTAAAGTCATTCTACAACATACATGTCTTACAGGATAAGCTTATAACATATTTATTTGAACAAGTTATCCAAACTGATATCTCACTAAACTCAAGAGAAGTAGACATTCAACAACAATGTAGACATTGTGAAGGTTTCAGTTTAAATCTGGAAGCAAACATGGGGTCTAAATAAGGAAATTGGAGTACCCAGAGAAAACTTACCTGGTTTGGAAGTGACCTACTTTAAACACCTTATCAGGGAATTAAACTCTGTCTGTCTTCGTGATAATTTAGTACACCATCCACAGTACAGTGTGCTGCCAGATCATTGGTCAAATGAAGTTGACAGTTACAGAAGAAACAATAAAAAGAAAAATAGATATAATTTCAACCGGTTGGCAGTAGGAATTAGAATGTAATTAATTTCTCTTTGGTATGAGATATGCCAATAGGTGGCGCTATTGCTGGTATTTGCCCATGCAAATGGACTGGGTTGTTAACTATACGTGTCATTCAGGCGACACAGGTTACAGGAAGCACACACATATTTTTTTTTTAAAGTTTGAATTTAATAGGTTAGGTGTTATGTATGTATTATAGATGTACATTATTGTGTAATTCTGTTTATTAATCGTGGTGATTGTAAATAAACATCGGTCAGTGCCTATGTCGCTGGGAGATACAGTTTTTGTATTCGTGTTATTTATCCTATTGGATAATATAGAAGAGAAGTATGGTTTCTTACCCAATGGTTAGATATCAACGTAGAACAGTGTCTTTTCAGAAGATCGGCCCCAATCTCTTCTGCTGTCTGGTAGAATGTTATACAGTTTTTCATATTCACAAAGGACATGAGACCATTTTCACACCTGAAAATAATTCACACAAACCATATCATAAATGTATAATTAAATAGGTTGAAAATCTTTAAAAAACAACAACACTGATTTTCAAACACTGATTTTCAAACAATTTATCTTCTATGTTTGATGCACATAAACTTCATTTTCATTTAATATAAAACTTGAGCTTTTTGCCAGTAAAACATATGCATGGGTGACAACTTCGTCTGGTAAAGACAGTGAGGCTAACATCCTCCCCATCCCCTACTCCCCCAATTACCACCAAGAGATCCTTGCTACCTGATACTTAGGACTGTTCCAGATCAAGAACAGGTAATTATAGTTTTAAGTATTTACTTCGGACTTGTGCTTTTCCTGTGGGGCCCATCCTTCAGAGCTCCTTATTCTATATCACATTGGGACTCATCAAAATTATGAAAAGGATGTTCAGGGGAAAAAATCCTACAAAAAATTGCTGTTTTAGGTATTCATCTACATCCAACTAGATTTATGTTATATTTATACAGCTCTCATTTCCCTTTCATGTGTAACAGCCTACCGTTCCTGTAGAGTTCTCAGTTTGAACTTAGTGGCTGCTCTGAGGAGTTCCAGTAGGAAATCACTATCAGACCTGATGTCTATGTCATCTGTGTAAGCCCAGCGTAATAAGGCATGGGCTACCTCATACTTTATATCTGGAAACAGATGACAACATTGTTATTTTTTATGTCTAATTGTTGCAGAGTAGTGAGAATAGTCAGTTGGGATTTATACGTCGAACATCAGAACTGTGTAGAACCATGCTTTGAAGTAATGAAAACATTACAAAACTTAATTTTTCCTTTGATGAAAATTGTAATCTTTATTTGATTATTCAACAGATGTCAGTTATGTATAATTTTGCAATACCAAATCAAATTAATGAACTGTCTGTTACATTTTTATCTATGTTTTCTCTATTATGGTATCTTTGATCTTGGCTAAACTTACTAGAGAAATCCAGACTAGACACTTGGCTAAGGTCTGGGACGCCCCAGTAGTCACTCCTGGCAGCAAGGACAAAGCGGTGACCAAACACTTGTTTGGAGCCATCCAACTGTATCTGCAAATCACTGCAAGGAAACAACACAAAGTAAGAACCACAAAGCTGTAACCTTTCTTTTACACTGTCATAATCTGTTCCGTTAATAAATTTATAACAATTCAACTTCTTACACATCCTCAATATCCAGAGGTTACGCTCACTTTCGTTCTCTGCACCCCTGGAATACGTTGTAGCAAAATTGAAGGCTTTTAAGTTTGCGCCACCATGTGGATGAGACAAGAAGACTTAAGTTTGATCCTTTGATGGACATCAAAAGAATCTGTCGGTCACATAATGGTAAAACTTACTGGCTTTAAAGTTAGCATCGCTCCTCTGTAATCTTCAAAGGACAGGTATATATCCAGCCTAGCGATTGGCCAGATTTTTTTTACCCGAGACCAATGAAATAGCTAGCCTTGTGCCCTCAATTTTGCTATGACATATTCCAGGGGTGTAGAGAGTAAAAGTGAGTGTAACCCCTGGAGTATCGAGGTTGCTTCTTACCATACTTAATGAAATCTGCAAATAATACCAATCCACCATTGATAAGATATTCATTTCATTATGTGACGCCTGTGACCTTAAATGTCAAACAAGGGCATTAGCTATATAGCTGGTTGAACAGAGTTTTAAGTCTTCAAACACACCATGCTTCTAGCAAAATATCCTTACCCTGGACCTTTTGGTTATATTGTTCATTGTAACATATATATATATATGTGTAACATGTATAATTATGTATAAGTACCTATATAACTCCTTATCAAATAAATCTGCCACAGTTTTCAGAAGTCTGGCTACAAAGTTGTCATTCCCAACTTGTCCAGCACTTGCTGAGGCTATCTGGTATTTCTTCTCGACCTCGGCCAGGCGATTCTGTAGCTTCACATACTCCTCACGCAGCAAACTCAGGTGGTTCTGTAGTTTAGCCACCTCACCTGAGGAAATCAAATTCAACTTAAGCAATTACTGTATGCTCATGGCCAGTATCGGTACCTGTTCATGTAACAAAATTATAAATACTTAGTATATATATATCAGATCAGTAGAGTTTTGCTCTTTGTATATATATTATATATACTGTAACATAAAATTAATCTGCTAAAAATGTCTGTAATCAGATGGGTGTGTACTTCAAAGTGTATCAGCTAGCAGTCAAACCCACGCCTAGGAATACTATATTCAAATACTCTACCAAGTGATGCTAATCGAGTCATTAACAAACAAATTAAGATTTATTATTTGTGTTTTTTGGTTATAGATACCTACAAGTATACATAAAGTGACATGAATGAAATGAAAGAAAATAGGCATTTTTTATCATTAACTTCACCATGACAATAGACAACACAAATACCAGGGATAACCAAACAAATGTTGAATATGCAATTAAAGAAGGATATATATGAAGAGGTAAGGTTGGCAAAGAAACTGACACCCAACCAACCTGGCATGCTTATGTATTCCATGTGTGCATGCACTTGGCATAGACGATGTTAGTGTTGCAACTGGATTTGCAAAGGTTATTATATTAAACACACACTCCTGTAGTTCACATGTGCTACAAGATCAGAAATCATTTATAGGGGTTAAAAGACAATTTTGTAATGGGAGAGTATAATAAAAAGGCAGCTTCACAAGACTTTTTAGTACTGATTATTCTTCAACAGTGAGCTAAACTAAAAACTCCTTCTAACCAAATACAACAAGAAGCGTCGACTCTATCTGGCCCTTGTGAACTGTGCTTGTATAGGCAATATAGAAATTATATGCATTAATTGTAGCCGTTAAGTGTTTTTCCAGAGGATGAGGGTCAAGGACATCTATTCATTTTCTTAAATTCTGCACATATATAACACTGTGGCAGGGTTCAATTGTACATAGGATTAAGGTCGCCTAGAGGGAATTTGATTTTTTATATTGGATAGTGAAAGAAGATTCGAAGTGCATTCAACCATAACATACAAAGATGTTACCCAAATGCAGGATTATTACCCATATGCGCCTATTTAACGAACCAGATTGAGCTAACGATTGCTTATACATGTAGTTCAACAAAATTTCGTATCCATCGTAACGGAAAGGTGTTTGCCTTTTACATGTCCTTGGAAGTTAGCAAGTATTGAAGCATCAATCAAGCAAAAAATCTGCAAAGCGAAAGCGAATCGGCATTCCACTCGCATGTGTCAAATGTGATTCACCCCACCCTCCCCGAAACTCGTACCCAAATTCTCTGTAGAGAAATATCTACAAATATATTCATCATATTTGGCAGTTAATATAATATGCATTAATCAAGTGTTTACTACATTGAATCATCATTCGCATTGTAAAGCTCGATTGTGGAGAATACACAGAAAATATAAGCTTTGATAGCTGAAAGCAATAATTGTATTTTACCTTCCGCCATTTTGTCCTTATTGATCATGTGACTTTCTCCAGAAAGCTGAAATATGAATATTTCGACAGTTTCGTACTTTTTGTAAGTAAAAGTTCTTTGTAAAAAAATTATATAAGATACAGTGAAACATAATGTTCAATATAATCTATATAAAATTGGCAATTAAAAGTTTTGTTCATGCTTAATTTTTTATCAGTAGAAATATCATAAACCATTTATATTTGGCTTTAAAATAAGCTAATTTGATATCCTATAATGTACGTACATATGTGCATTGTAGCATGGAATTATAATTACTCCTAAAGATATTCGAGAATTAGTGAGAAAATATCAATATTTCGATGGCTTTCAGGAAAACGGTTTCGACTTTACATATTTGTATCACTCCAATTATGAATATCATACGCAAGCAGATGTGATTTTCACATATATATATGTACTATATATGAAATAGTGATCTATATATACATGTATAGAATACTGTAAAGACAAGAGATTGGTCAGGACAGGAGTCGTCTCTTATTAATTAAAAATTATAGAATTAAATATTATTACATGTGGGATAGACGGTTCCTTATTTAATAATCTCTTTCCTACCATCCCTTACGATACCTTCACTACATACTTTATTCTGTCATGCGACACACCTTTTTAACCCGCTGTTTTTGTCAAGGGATGTTGCTTTTATTTTGTTGTTAATTCTTATTTTGTGCTCTCTCTTTAAGTCCATTAAAAAAATGATTGTATCATTATTTTGCTAGGTAGATATATAGGTGGGTAGGGACTGGCCCAACCACCTGTCCTGTGACACGCTCCACACATATATCATTTAAAATCTGTTAGTGCAGTAGCCTGTATATTGTTATAATATCACCAACTATATTGCATTTTATTTAGCTCACCTATATTTTATTTTATCCATGTAGACCTATGTGAATTTGCATGCCATGTTTTGTTTGTTTTATCCCGGATACCCATGTTTGTCGTAGAAATAGCTCTACCGAGCTATAATGTGTGTACGGTATGCGACATTAAATATGATTAATTGTCCCATCTTTGCGTCGTCTGCTGTAACCTCTTACATATGCAGATCAGTCTAATATATCACGTGATTGCGGATCGACGTGATCGCGGCTTGTTCTCGTTTCCCCCACTTTTTAAAATAGCATGGGGGAAGAATGTTGTTAGAAGGATTATAGTCTGTTTCTAAGTAGTATGGGCAGTATTTACCTGTGTTTTTACCTGTGTTTACCTGTGTTTTTACCTGTGGTTAACCCTTCTATCTAAGGTGGTGTTTTATCAAATTTAATTTAATAATACATTATATAAGGGTTTTTTCAGATTTGTAATGTTTGTTTGTTTGTTTGTTTGATTTTGTTTAACGTCCTATTAACAGCTAAGGTCATTTAAGGACGGCCTCCCCTGTGTGCAAGATGCATGCGTGTAGGGTATGTGTGTGGATTTTGGGAGGCTGCGATATGTTCGTGTTCGTCTCCTTGTGATAGCGCGGAACTGATGCCGGCTTTATAGTGCTACCTCACTGAGACATGCTGCCGAAGACACCCAGCAGGACGCCCCACCCGGTCACATTATACTGACAACGGGCGAACCAGTCGTCCCACTCCTAATTTGCTGAGCGTTAAGCAGGAGTAGAAACTACCATTTTTAAAGACTTTGGTATGTCTCGGCCAGGGGACAGAACCCAAAGCCTTCCTCACAGGGGCGAACGCTCAACAAATGGCCAAAAGTGAGGCATTGTCAAGGCAGACATTAGGAAGAAGAAAGTTATTTAGAAAGGAGAGAAGAGATAAGGTCCCAAATTTAGTCGCCTCTTACGATCATGCAATTGGGGGCAGCAGGTACAATTCTTACGCCCTACCTGCAGGGACGATTTGTAATGACATGACAAATGTTAAAATTTAAATTATTTAAATATTAATCATATATATAAATATATATATTCAGTATTAAATATATCCATTTTGTAGTCCTTGTACTACTGATATGATAAGATGAAATGAGTTATTTCATTTTCTATTACTTTAAAAATATTAATATAAATAGTTATTAAATAATCTTTATTATTGTAACATTTAATAAGATGGCTAAATTACTTTGTACAAAATGTAAGAATGTAATGTGTGACTATAAGCTAAGAGTGTGGTGTTTAACAGCTAATTAATCAGTTAATTGATCAAAATTCCTAGATGTTATAAGTATCTTATAACTATCATAAAATCATTGAACATCTATAATTATCCAAGCTCCGGACCGCCGAATGGAATGATGTCAGCGAGAGGATTGTCAAATTGACACCAAAGTTACCAATGCATGACCACCCGAGACATTAATCTGGACGGATTCTGGACCAAGACGACTGCCGGGGAACAGTTCCTGCTTTTTGATGATGAAGATGACTCGCGCGTCATCAGCTTCGCTACTACGGACAACCTCTTCGACCTTGCCAATGCTGACAACCTCTACTGTGATGGAACTTTCTTCACATGCCCCAAGCTCTTCTATCAGATATACANTGTTTAAAAATTGTAATATAATTGAAATATAATCATTATGAATAAGGACATACTTTGTATGTTATGCGATGTGATGCAACTTTATTTGGAATGAAATAAAGTTTATATTAAGTAGTGAAATACTCGATTGTGAAATCTTATGTAGTGCTGTTATATTCTATATTATCTGTTTAAAAGTGTAATGTAAATATAAGTAAAAAAAGATATCGATTATATATAAAGATATTTGAACCCCCAAAAAGTATTAAAACCTTATTTATACCCAACATATACAACAAAGCTACAAGTCACACAGGTAACTTTCACACAGGTAACATCATCACTTTCCTTTGTTATATAAAAAGTGGGGGAAACGAGAACACCCCGTGATCGCATATTATTATTATTATTGTTATTATTTTATTAACCTCGAGTCAACTGACTCATGGGTATAATACATATATTACAAGATAAGTACAACATGTTATGCAATACAATACAGAATAACATATGGACATATGTTAAGAGGAGAGGGACTCTTTACGTACACTTGTTGCCAAATGTAAATATTTTTCAAGATTAAAAAGTTCCTTTACATTATTTGTACTTAATAGTTGAGTTAGCTTAAACACACTCGGACTTAAACGATAATATTTCTTTATGTACTTTAACCTTAGATTTTCATAAAATGGACATTTGAGAATAAAATGAAACTCATTTTCAATGTCGCCTAAATTACATCTAGTACACAGTCGATCATGACGGTTTATATTATTCCGCCTCCCGACCTCAATATTTAAACTGTGAGAGGACAGTCTATAGCGATTAATTTGACGCTTGAATTTGATTTGATTGGCTTACGCAAATAAAACTGTAAGTCGACATTGTCTATCAGGTGTTGATATAAACACCCCTTTGAAGAATTTGAAATATTTGTTAACATACTTTGTCGTGAAACATCGAGCAATTTTTGTTCTATAATCTTTGCCGCAATATTAATAGGTAAGTTTTCCTCATAGATATACTTCAAACTCATACTAGCTAATTCTTGCCCAATATTAATTAACCAGTCATCATTACCACTTATACGCTCGTCATAGCAAGCTTTTAATATACAGTTATCGCTACATTTCACTTTTAACCAGTATTTAAAAATCCTCAGTTTCCTTTGGACTATGTGGGGGAATCTACCAAGTTCACAATAAACCAGATCATTATTAGTGCATTGTCTGGCTCCCAGAACTTTTTTACAAAAATTTAAATGAACTTTATTTACATCAGGTGCTTTGTGAAATCCCCAGATTTCTGAGGCATAACACAAAATACTGTTTACATAAGAGTCAAAAATAGTACACTGAGTTTCAATATTAAAACAATAATTGCGTAATGAAGATGTTAAGGCGAACATTGCCTTCCTTCCTTGATCAGCCACATGCTTCTGTGTTTTAAGAAATTTTCCATTATAATTAAAAAAGCATACCTAGATATTTGAATTAATCCACGATATCAATGTTTTTATCTTTATAAGACCACGTTTCATTATTTCGTAAGTTACCACCATTTCTAAAAACAACTATTTTGGTTTTAGATATGTTGACTTCTAGATCCCATGTGTTACAAAAATCCTGTAAGGAGTGCAGCATAGATTCGGAGACCTTCTGGTGTTTCTGATAGCAGCACCATGTCATCTGCATACATGATCAAAAATAGGTTTATAAGTTGCAGTTCTACACTTGGACAATTGTCTTTTATGAAATTGATCTCAAAATCATTAACATATAAAAATAAATAAAACTGGTGGCAGTACTTCGCCCTGTAAAAACTATCACTTAGGACTCCATTATACTTTACACATGATTTAACATTATTATATAGGTCAATCAAAATTTGAAGGAACTCACCTCTGATACCACAATTGATCATTTTACACCATAACTTGCTTCTATTAACAAAATTAAAAGCTTTTTTAAAGTCTACAAAACAGCAGTACAAACGCTTTTTCTTTTTAGGGACTTATTTATAAGGGTTTGTAAAACAAAAATGGCGTCAGTGGTTGACATTCCAGGTCTGAAACCAAACTGTGCGTCAGTTAGAATATCATACTTTTTTCCCCAATTTAAGGTAGCATTATATCAATCGGGAGGTTTTAAATTACAAACTGTTAATTAATCTGTCCAAAGATCCTATAACTTGTCAAACTTAGTATATCCAGGGGTTTATATAATCAAATCACGTGGTATTATACGTCTATGTTTAGAACAAACGTTCTGTGTGGCAAGATGCAATAACAGATACAGTTTAATTAAATCTGAAAAATGGTGGAGACTGTGGTTGATCACAAAAAATGAAGTTTCTTTTAAAAGCCAAGAAAACCCATCAGGATTCGCTGCTGAAATGTCCGTTGTATTACGATATATCATAGAGACATGAGGATTTGTTACAGCTACATTTGGACCTAAACTAAGGTGTCCAGAGTAATTTTACATGTTTTAGGGATTTCCAACAC